ACTACCGCACTCTCATGACATCGAGGAGAGTCATTCGCAGCGTCTTCTGATCGAAGGAAAAAGAGGCCGAGTTAATGCGTTTAGCCGACGAGCTGCACTCCGTGGAGAGAACTCTGAAGAATTTGTTGCTTTGCCTTCACTAGCATTTTCCAACAAGAATGCCAGCGACAATTGGGATAAGGTTGCAACACCTCAAGTGGACCAAGCCACCACGGTCAAAGAACGTAGATGTCCAGCGGATTTAAAGCAGAAGAGCAGGAACCTCATTATCAAGACACTCTGTTGGCAGGCCACACGCCAGACTGCAATTACACACCATCCACAACATCTTCCGACGTTCCTATTGTTCTGAGACACTGTAACTCACGAGTAGAAACCTATCCACCCGCAATCCCCCTCCCACCGTCAAACAAGTCGCGGATTGGGGCCTATGAACGGCCCGCGGCGCAGGTCTCGGCTTGTCTCACAACACCGCCGGTTCTGAATTGCCATGACATCAGGCCTGCTGGCTCATGTTCAACAATCTCGAACCGCTCGGCCTCTGCCGAAGTCTATCCAAGCTATTGGAATCGATCGCCTACCACCCCTCACACATCATGTCATTCATCCCACAACTCCCTTGTATCGTTAGATTCCACCAACGCATAATCCCAGTAGCCGAACGCCCCGGCCGATACCAATACAGCAACATCAACGACTGCAACTCGCCTCAACTCCTGCATTACTGCGAGTTATATCCTCCACAAGCGTGGGCCTAGGTCAACATCTGGCTTACCGGCGCAGCAACGTAACGGGATATTTTGCTGATAATGTCGTTGTCAACTGGAAGGAGTTCAAATGCTCAACATAAAGCAAAAGATTTAAAAGCAAGCGTGGTTTGGCTCAGCCCCGCCGTCAAGTCCATCCGGATGCTTACAATGCAGATGGTCTGGCGCGGCTATTCAACCACCGGTGCAACTGGTCTGCGCTAGAGGAGGGGACACTTCTAGCGTGCGCCACGGATATGGCAACCTCCGCCCCCAATCTTCCGCAGCTGCTCAGGCAACTCCGTATCTGATTTCCCCGCCGATCAAATGACTGCATTAAGAAACGTTCGAGAGATTTCAGTTGGAACATCATGGGAGCAAGGGAACGCCAAAATAACTGCCCAGCTATTGCAGTTACGTACGTCGCCTCACCATTTCTCCCTCTCAATCAGTCGCTAAGTTCCCCTTACTATCCTCTGACCGAAGAGGTCCACCCACCAGTCCATTTGAACTCCACAGGCATGATTTCACCCCTCTCATGGCGCGGTTCCCATCCAAGTGACCATCAAGACGACTATATAGTCACGCTTGATGTCAGCACACACAGCGTACGTTACCTTGATGTGGGTTGACGACAGCCCGCCACTCTATCGCCCAATCCATCACCATACGAAATCACTCCAGGGATTGATTTGGATGAATGATGCGCCGACAGAAGCCACAGGTTACCAGGCTGTCTTTCAACGTCTTATGGAGGAAGCCAGAGAAAAACCGGCCCAATGCAAATATCAAACTGAACACCGTGCTGTTACCTTGCAAACAGTCATTGAAGACCTGCAAACGGGGCACTCTAGGACAGAATTTAGGAACGCCATGGAAAGAGTGTGCTCAATCTTTTTCCCTCACACATGGAGGTCCAGTAAGCGCAAATAAAGAGCATTTACAGTCTCAAACAATTGTCAGCGAGGGCGACTTCAATACGGCCACATACAACGCCTCTACCATTTACGAAGAAAAGATGCCGAGGCTACAGTACTCGATGGTCGTTGAAAGACAGAATTCATGCCGGATGAAGAAGTGATCCCGAGCTTCAACGAGCTCTGGAAGGATGTGATCTCGCAGCCCCCAGTATCTGATAACCGGGCAGCACGCGGTTGTGCAAATATTAACCTGGGTCTCATAAAACCCATAACCATTGAGGGAACGAGTTCTGCACTGCGAGCAATGGATCTGCACCTGGAGTAGACCGTAGCCCACCAAAGGAAATCAGTGGAATGGATCCGAGATTCATTACGTCTTTCTTAAATTGCTTATTTGATTGTTCCCCCTATCCTACTCACATGAACGTGGCCCGTGTAACGTTTACGCCAAAAAGCCCCAACCCATCTCGCCCTAAAGACTTACGCCTAATTTCCGTAACTTCAGTTTTCACTCGTCTTATTCATGGAATTTTATTCGTTCGCTGGATTCCTGTATTTCCAGCTGATCATCTTCAATTTGGTGTTTTTCGTAAAGATGGCTGCTTTGAAGCCCCCACGATATTACACTCTGCACTAAGATATTCACGGTTGAACGGTATCCCATTATTCATTGTTTCTCTTGACACCTCGAAAGCCTTTGATTCCATCTCAAACGCACCACTGCTTCGTGCAGCCACATCTTTCGGTAACCACACTTTTCTTCTACATTACCTAAAGTCTTATTACCCCTCCTGAATTTAAATCATCAATGGTCTGAGGATTCACCCAGGGCTTGGAGTCCGTCAGCAAGATCCACTTTCTCCCTTGCTCTTCACCATGGCACTTGAAGAAGCATTACACAGTCAGACACACAGTGGAAGTCCTCAGTAGGTCTAATCGATCATGTCGCTTATGCAGTTGTTGCCGTACTATTTGCTCGTGACAGAGAATTCCTGATCGAACGCCTAGGGCGATTTAGGCGGGATATACAGCATCTTGGATTATCCATAAACCACATGAAATCGATGGTACTGGATTTCACTGTCGACAGCAAAAGAAAAAATTTGTCTATTTTGAACACTGCGCAACTCCAGATCCCCACAATCCAACCCTCAAGGGAATTTCGGCTATTTGGATTACCATTTGATTGGAAGGGTAAACATCCATCCAAACTCTCTAGACCAGGGGTGTACAAAATCCGGCCCGATTTAACATTTCAACTGGCAAGCGGCCTTATTAAGGAATAGTAAATTCAGGCTTGGACTTTATTCGTACATGTGTAATTTTGTTAGTATCTTAATGTCAGACTGAATATGGCCCGACATAATTTTACCCCACAAAATGTGAGGTTTGGACACTCCTGCTTTAGACTAACACAAAACACAACTGCAGGAAATATCTCAATACCCCTTAAACCTACCAGCGCATGGATACCTTGCGCACCTAGCTTTTACCACGTCATACACATTGCCTCTCATTGGCAGTAGTGCATGGGCAGACCATTTAAATCGATGGATAGGCTGTTCCGGGCAAGTATACGAAAATGGCCATGACTCCCCAAGGGTCGCTTTCTTTCGTGTATCAATAAGATTATGGCCTACGGGTTACGTGCCTTTCTATTATGATCGCATTGATTCGGAAAGACCACCTGGAACGCCATCTTTCATTTTCCCACCCAATTATCAGCTGGACGATACGGGAAGCTTCAGCGGCTACCATCCAGCACCTCACCATGAAACCCGTAATCATTGGGAATTAAGTCGCCTTTGGCAACAGTGACGCGAAGGAAGTATGGAAGAATTCACTGCTACAATCTGTAGACGGATCCTTGCTTCAGGGGGTATTTATGACACCAGCGTCTCAAATTGAATAAGAAACTCAGAGCGAATTATTCCCAGACTCAACATCAGCGGAACCAAAGTTCGAGCAGGGGTACTGTCCATAAAATCTCGATGCTTCAGAGGACGACCACCCCGAAACCCAACCGATCTCCACTGCCGGGGCGCTTGCGGACAAAATGAAACACTTCCCCAGGACTTGCAATCCTGTGCAGTAACCCACAATGATCGCTGTAAGAGGCACAACGTTATCGTAAAGCAACAACCCAATACTTTTCGTCGTAAAGGAGTCCAGATCATTCCGGAGCCTAGCATCCCAGCGGCATCAACGTACATCAAGCCGGATATAAGCGTCAACAAGAAGTCCAAAACACACATAATGGACGTGACAATATGCGACACCTACAGAATGTACCGTAGCTAGCACCTAAAAATTGACAAATACGGAGTGGGTGCTCATGTGGAAGCCAGAGCCCGCATTGTGTGCTCGGAATTTCCAACGACATTAAAAATCGTGCATCATCCGATAATCATCAACAAACGGGGTCATATATTCCCAGCCTCCGCCAAGCGGGGCTCACCAAACGTGACATATCCGACTTGTGTGTGTCTACCATGAGATATCCCTTCAAGTTTACGACATCTACATACGGGGTGTAATGTCACAAAACGTATCACACTAACACCGTACACTCACATATTCGCGAGCGATTATGATCATATTTTGCTTATTAAATGTATCCTATTTCAATATTACGCCAGAATGTTTGTCCAAACTCGGCGAATTTATGTAATGCCTAAGCCTTGGGCCACGCATGAATTTGCCGCAAATACATCTTCATGGACTGTGATTCACATCGAAATGAACCTGGTCACCGCGATCCCTGGGACCGTAGCCGAAGCAGATGGAAATTGGGCGTTACCCGCACGAAAATACTGCACAACCACGACACGTTTCGATGTCTTTTCATTTTGTCAGGTGGAGATAGCAGGTCTCAAAACCGCGACCATTGGAATAGTAGCAGATACCCCTACCCCTTTGGCTACCCGGTCAAGACGGGCAACGCTTGGCACAACGGTGAATGACTAACTAGAGGGTCAATTTTGGACTATACGTTGTGTGATTGGATTGCAACACGTAATCTCAATGTAGACCGTGATCCACATCGAAGTGAATGTTGGTCAGTGCGATCAGTGGGACCGTAGCCGAAGCAGATGGAAATTGGGTGTTCGAAGCAGGACACACCCCATCGCTATCAGACTAAGTGCTTTACCGAGATTTGTGGTTTAAACATTCAACACTAGATCGAGTGGATTTGTGATGATTATTTTGGCTAGGATGTTGCATAAGCGTACTGTTACGGCGTAAATACGAGCGGATTCCCAAAAGGACCCTACAGCTCAAACATAGACCGGAGTTTGACGGATCAGGTTACCGTGTGAAGATACGCACTCACTTGAAACGGAAGGAACCAGGATTGGCAGTTCGCGCAACGATGCCTGATAACTCGAGTACAGGTTTCGGACCTGTGAAATAACGCAAGAAGGGAACACAAGGTTAGACCAGTCAAAACAAAGTTGGCGATGATCAAAGAAATAAAAATGGAACCCACGAAACAAATGTGGCGTACTTCGGTTTTGTCCTATAACGGGAAGGCGAATCTGACCCCATGAACGGGAGAGCCAGTGCACCTAGCGTTAAACTCATTAACCTATTATTTGCTGACATTATCTAAGAACATTTGGTAAAATGTGAGTTGAAGCATTGGACCAATGTTATATATGTATTACTTTTTTAACTGAACATCTAGGAAAGACAATAATGCTCATTTTTCCGAAATCATTTTAGTCAATCTAGGTTTCTTTTAATTAAATAAATGCTTAAAATACACTTTAGGTGTCCATAGAAAGGGACGCCAGCAGAAAATAGGTTGAAGGAATAAACCGCAGTGCTTCCAACTTTTTGGGTGAAAATGAGCACGAGTACTCAAGTAAGCGCTATATTAGATGGCTTGCGTTTTTAATACAATGTGGAGGTGACTTCGCAAAGTGGAAGACCACTTCACGTTAAGCGGTGAATTCGGCACGCGACCAATTGTATAGTGAATCCCACTGAAAACCGAGGAACAAGCGTGAATGGCACTTGAGAATTCCACCATGGAAACGGTTGGAGATAAAAAAAGAGAAAAAGTTGACCTCTGTTTATGATTAATGAAGAGGAAAATTTGTGTACCACAAGAGGGTTTGATGAGTACAAACAAAGCTAGATAACGGTACGGCCTCTGTTCTAACGATGAAAATTTTTATAGCGTAACTTGAAGAATTTTGATAAGTAGTTTGCAGCGCTTCAAAAATGGCTCGAAATGCTCATTTTCGTCACTTGTTACAACAATCTACTAATAATGCCATGTGGTAGCAAATCAGGTAAGATAGCCATAAAACGACACTGATCAATCGGAACAGTGCTGAAATAAGTGGAATGTAAACGCCGAAGAGAGAAGAGGACCATGAGCGTAATGCTTTATCGACTAGAGGAAAGGAGGAAATAAAATGAATGAAATACTAGAGAGGCGGATTCGAAATTGCTTCACTAAATACGTTCCTTGCTGGACGCAACAAACGACAGAAAGATACATACCTGAATCAAGAGCCACGGACTTTGGTTGTGTATACGGGGCCAAAACCACTGGAAAAGTACAGTCCAGCTTCTGGTTGTCTATCTGTGAAAGACAGGAACGTAGCAGCATAAAGATATTAGACGAAAGATACTTGTAACGTCTATGATACACCAACCGATTCAGTAAAAACTGAAATTGTACAAAAGTTAGGAAGGGTACAGCTTCAGACGTTTGATAAGTGAACGTGAGTAACACGCCAAATAAAAACTGATGGGTGGTTAGATTTTAAATCGCAAATAGTAAATAGACTATTAAGGGCAAACGACAACTATGAAAAGTGCGAGGCGTCCAGCAGAAATGTATGAGGTAATAACAGGATTGAAAATGATGGTAAGCTAAGGGAAACAGGCCAGGAGAACTTAATGTGGACTAGAGGATGTTATTTTCGTCAAGAGGGATCCCACCTGAAAACGAAATATTTTACAATGCAATTGCATTTGACTCTTCGAGTTCTTGTATTGCACAAACACCCCAGGGTCGAATGCACGCCGAAGTTCACATTGGTCTGGTTTGAGCATCATCATTTGACTGAAATCTACTTCAATTGGGCGCACAATGTCAGTCACTTTCGCGAATCCCTGAGCCGGCTCGCCTGCTCTTAGCTGGTCCACATAGGAGGTGTATGCAGCTTCCAGCGCATCGCTTACCGCCGGCTTCAGAGGCTTCAGACGGTTGCCTCGTTTAACTTGGCTCCAACGCACACCAGAGCTGTCAGGCAGAAAGAAATGACAAGTATTAAAAAGTGACGTTAGTAGCGGCATCTGAAGTACTTCTAAAATCCTAGAATTCTCGACACTTCATTTGAATGCAAACAGACCAAAGGGTTACAATCTTCTCAAATGAAGGTGGTCTGGCTGTTGTGGGGTTCATTGGCACAATTCACGCCCTTCATCAGCACCACGCAGTCAAGAATACCAAGACACTTGTTTACACCACCGCTTCCGCTCGATGTGTGGCAATTTCGTGGTGTTTGTTCTCTGTCAACAACAGCTTTCGAAGGTGTTCCCCACGAGATTGCAACAGGCACTGCTACGTGGGCACCGGTTAGAAGTAACTATTTTCTTTTTGCACTTCAGTTTGGTAAAATGAAATCAAACTTATCTATCAACTTACGGCACATGACATCATAACTTAATTAGGAGTAGGAGACTTTTCAGTTGTAATTTTAAGTAAGATAAATTGTAACCTCACCTAGTTTCAAATGATATGGGCGTAGCGTCTAGTGAAAGGAAGTCATGACCTGGAGGCTAGCCACTGTCATCTGCAAGGGTAGAAACCTATGTGACAGTGGAAGATAGGTCGTGCTATATTCCAGGTAGCTTGCAAATTATGTAGCCTACTGTCGTCTCCCATGGCTCAGTGGCTTAAGCAGCTGGCTAGTTGGCGTCAGCTTCTAATAGCCATGGGTTCGATCCCCAGTGGGGGACCGTAGAAATACACAAAACTGATGAGCCCCACTAGGGCGAAACCCATCTGGTGCTTTTCCGGATTGTGGTTGAGCTATGTAGCTTGTGAGTTGCTGGGATGAACACACTGAGCTCATAATCATCACATCACCGTTTAATGAACATGTTAACCAGCTGAATGATTATGTTAGTTACAATACAGAAATCGGCAACGTGAAAATTCGGAGAGCATAGATAGGAAAGCTTCGCATGATAAAGGTTGCAAGCATGAGCGCGTCAATGCTCTGCAGAGATGCACTCTCATGATGTCTGAATTGTGGCTGATTCATCCAAGACGAGGATTATATGCAACAAAGATCCGGTTCGATTTATGCGGCTATATGAGTGGACTAGGTGCACGCTCATGGTTTGATCAAAGATGGTTAATCGAATAGGATCCGAGCACCGAGGTAGAGTAGGCTAAGTGAAGTATTCGGAAACAATACACGAGGCACTCTGTCAGCGGGTGTGCGAAGTATATGATCTAGCCAGCGTAGATGAATTGAGTTTAATAGAGACTTCAGCGGTATACCGGAAGATCTTTGCAAATGTAAGCTGGCGGACTTCATTCGCTGGCTCACTAGATATGTGTAATAATTGGTGGATATTTGTGCGCAAACTCAGGCTAGTGTGAAAATCCACGTGAGTTTTTTAGGATAATCAGGCGACAAAACGCCTCCCGCCTGCTCCATCATTAGGCGGCTGAAACTCACTCTATGTAAACTGACCGAGTTCGTTGCCAGTCTCGCCTTGCCTTAGTAAAGCTGGTGGCGGCATTTCTCTAAACGGAGTGCCCGTCAGCGTCAGATAAACTTTGACCGCCATGGTTTCACTCATGAGGTTACATACTGCTTGTCTCTGTATGCAACCTAAGAATTCCCCTAAATGTATGCAAACGGCTGAGGAGAAAACGCGGAATAATTGAATTCAGATTATCCGATTAAAGTGTTGTTCCTTCATGCCAGTACGAAATTTGTGAAGGGAAAGCTTGTATGAAACTTGTTAAGATTATATCCTGCAGTCTCCATACGTAATCTATCCTCTGAAAACCATCTAACGTTGCCAAAGTGTTTAACATGCATACCGGTGTTGCGACCACCAGAAGTAATACATTCAGCTAGTGAAGTACACTGGCCGCTAAACTCCAGCATTCGTTCGGATGCAGCAAGAACTGTCAATGAGTTGGCTCAGCCGTGCAACAGTGTCTTGCACTTTGAGGCTGCAAGACACACCAAAGCGTGTACCACAATGCGTTAGCCTATTCAGACAGCTGCATTTTGTTCAAAGAGAGTTATGTCGCCCACATACTTTAGGTTCGGCCGATGGTCATCCAACAAAAATCATACATAATGGGAAGTGAGGACAGAAGAAAATAACCCAAACCGATTTCGATCGCCAGACGGCCACCACATCCGGATACTGCTGAACAGTCGCCTCGCTTTATTGAAGCCAATCAGTAGGATGTTTCACCCCATGAATCCTGCGAACGGGATGGCGACGTGATCCACAGTCATGCGTGACTACCGCGAACGCCATGACTAATCGAGCGTGCACTGTTCCCAGGGGACCTTTTATTTTGCGTACCTCTATAGTTGTGTGATGGAGTAGAAGAGCCCAGAGAAGTTGACGGAACAACCGAGTCGAGCTGGATCGTAACACCAACCCTCGCATGTAGGGATCTCCAGCTCATATGACGTGATTGCGTCCGCGCACGCTGTCTCTTACTTTCGAACTTTAGTTCACCTATACGATGATTTGGATACTTCATCACCGCCTTCCCAGTGAATTTATTTGTTGCTTTTCTCTTCGTTTCCCCATCCAATACAGTTGGTCAGAAAGATAAAAATTATGGTTGGCCTGTCATCATGGTGGATGGGATCGTCAGGTTCGAACAAAGTGGGGTTTTTTGCCTTCTCTTTCTTGATCGGCCCGTCTGCCTCTCTCTCGCTTGCGTTTAACTTCGTGGTTGTTACAAGGAATGCATTACTACCGAGCAACCAAAACGGATAAAGGGAGAAATGGCGTCAACGGAAGAACCGAAAAAGGTTGAGATGAAATGAGAACAAAAATGAAAGGGAATGAAAGTAACAAATACACGTGGCTGCTATATCTCAACTGGAAGCGTACAGGGGGCTTCTCAACAATCAACACTGTATATACACTCCTTTTATCTGTTCGACCCTCCAGGTTGTTGATGGCAAGTTCCTGAGTAGCTGACGCATCAATGCAGTCAACTGAATTCACGTTCTCGATCGGCAAAATGTCGCGAAGTGATTCTACTTGGAGCGCTTCATGCAAGTCATTCCCCAGCGAGACAAGTTCCTAGGGAGGCTGGCCCATGTGCCGGGGAAGTATGCGACATTGAACATAGGTTGAGAAAAATCATACAGTTCAAGGATTGTCAGGCTTCAACTGGAATGTCGTTGCGGTTTCGCTATCACAAGTATCGATGCATTGGTTCAGTGATAGGTCTTTGTTGCAATAATCTTTGGATAATGTTCTCCTCCTGAGTGTCGAGTACACTTCGATCGTTCCCTATAGAACCGAGTAGGCATTCGCCAAAATTGCATGTTCCTACCACTGATTTTTAGCTCAGTGATGTTTCTGCTAACTAATTCACCTGGAAACCGGTTTCAACCCAAAAGTAATTGGCTTCGATAAGTTTCCTTAGTCTCGCTTTCCAAGAATTCATCAAACGTTTGGTGCGCGTCGCTAAAACTAAACTCTTGATGTTCGTCGCCCAATCTGATTGTCTCTAGCACATGCCTTGCTTCCTCGCCAACAGCACGTCGGATCGTCGCCAACTGGTAATCTATGGGCTGAGTGTACGACTGCGTCAGTGGGGCGAAAAAAATCCACTTAGTTGCACAGTTACGGGCAGCGAGCCCCCGGTAGCTGCTATGGGGTCAATAGGATGAATGACAGCTTCTATCCAGAAGAAGGTTACTAAATGTTTATCGATTTTTGCCTCTGCAACCATGTCGCGTCGCCTTCCGAGGGTGCGAAAAGCAAAGCTGAGCTTCGAGCAAAAATCTATTTGCACCACAAATAAGCACACAATTTATAGGAGCTTTTCAGATGACCAATTTGGTAAAGCATCTTATCTCACGGACGTGTGCGTGCCAAGAGTCCCCGTGTGACCGTAAATGTCTGAACCAGAGTATCGGGATGGCAACACAAGTTACAGAGATATGAGCCACTTATCACTATTGGGTTTGAATAGTTGCTGTTTGGTCAGTCAGTAGTCGTTTCAGAGTATCAAATTAGCATGTCTACCAGCCAAAAAGGGGAGCTGAGAAACTAATCATCGGCTACTAATTGCTTTTAGTGTCTTGCTCACACCACAATTCTAGCAAAGCAGAATGAAACTGTGAAGTACTAAGAGTACGGTGGACATGGTAAGCGTGCCCGTTTTACGGAAGAAGTTTGTATAAAGCGATTGGAAATTAAAACAAAGGAAAAATTAATGAGAGATTATCAACTAAAGTGGACGTTCTTGATCACCAGTGACCTTGATTCAAGTGACGAAGACATGTTCACGGGTCCCGAAATTGAAGATGATTGACCAATGAGCCTGGTCGATTATAAGTAGATAATCGTATAGCGCCACACAGTCGTGAGTGTAAAGGTAAACAGAAGCACCAGGCGCACAAGGTCATATTAATAAACAAAAAGACAAGGGTCGACAGTGAGTACTATTTGGCAGCAACATAGGGACCGGCAATCGTTACGCATTGTCAACAGGAAGCGGTGGTAATATTCGCCACATGAAACTGGAACAGTTTTGGTATACAAACTGAATCTCTGCGAGGGATCATGGGCTATGTAACTCTGGCTGACTCAAAGGCCAGGGAAGCAATGCCGGTTTCACGGATGCACAGCTTACATAATTAGCGACATGATCAGCAAGTCTTACCGGACCGGTGTACCAGCAGAATAGGTCTGGTGATTCGACAGTAATGTACCGGACAGGCCGCGCTAAATAAGTCGATCAATTGAGGATATCACACGCGGTTATAAATAAGTATCTCCCGCGATCGACTAGAATTGTATGAGTGGGGGCAACACAAGGATTTGGTAGAGCTAGTTAAAATGACAAGACAACCGGAAAGCGAAGGCTTGATTGGAATGAAAGGCATTACCTCGTCACTGACACATATGCCAGTTCTATGCGATTGAAGTTGTCAACCAGTGATAACCCGACAGACTGTAAGCAGGTCATGATTTCCAAATCGATCTTCTCTAGGTCTGCGCTCTGAAAAAGAGATAAAATTGTATACATGCTGTATGTTATAACAAAAGCATATGTAGACACACCGGGGAAGCAGCAGCAAACTAAAAAGCGCGGAGAGGAGGTAAGATCTCAAAGGCCATACAAGATTGCTGTGATAAGGTAGGTATGTTATGGTTCAGTGAGTATAAGCGAAACCGCAAGGGAAAAATGAAAGGCGGTCAACCGCAACGAACGTGCAATGCCAATAAGGATTTACCTTATCTGAAATGAACCACATTCGCGAAAGAAAACATGAGAAGGGAGTGACAAGAAAGATATCATGCATACGATACGCAGACTCCTTCAGTGCGCATGGTGATATCCATTACAAAATTTATATGTCAGTAACAAACAGAATCAGTGACTTCTACCAGAAAGCGAGCGGAGATAGGATGAGATACACGGGAGCCTAAGTGATGGGCTATCCGGAGCCTAGAAGCCTGCGATTTGGAAACAACATTAGATGGGTAGCATGTATGAGCAGGGCATTATTAACCAACTGGGCTCCATTGTGCGTGAGAAATTCGCTTTACCTCTAACTCCCCTCAAATAATTGAGTCATTAGGTACAGGAGCAGTGGCACAATCGCAAGACGAGAAAGCAAAAGATTAAACGTAAGGAGACCATGGACGCAATAATTGCATCATTCCAGAAAGGACTGTTAGTTGCGTATCGCTGAACCCGGTGGTCTGCACAAATGAGGCACGGCGTTTCGGTCAATCACTGCAGACGCACTAACTAATGGAACACTTGGCCCGATGGAATATCCCTCAAGACACATCGAGTTGAGTAGTTAACAGATATTTGAGAAACGTGATCCAACCGGAATAGGCTGGGTATGATTGACAAGTCCGAAGCCCTGTTGCTGGATCCTAACTGGTGAATCGTAACAGTATTTATCCGGTGGCCATATCGGAAATGATTAAAATTTCGTAGTCATCGAAGACCACACAGTAGCGGACACTGCCCCGATTTAATCTGGTCATAGTGTCGCAAACGTCTTTTAGGAACGATGACCTTTTCAGTAAGCTGGATAAACGCCATGAAAACACGGATTCGTAAGACAACTAATTACATTTAGAGAACACCCGTCAAACGCAGAAGGTGGGAACGTGAAAGGAGTGCAAGACAGTTCGTTTCAGTGGGAATTACTTCGCCTATACTTACAGTCAGCATACACTGGCAAAGAGCACTGAGAAACAAGGGTCGCGCAAGGTGGAGAGGGACATGTAGGGAGCATACACTCACTAGTCTCGCGTTCTTCGCGGCATTGACATCCTGTGTGAGCAGTAAAACGCGTTGCATATTCCACAGAAAAGACACCCAGTATGCCTTCGTGTCGTTCACGTAAAATTCCTCCACACAATCCTAAATACATACAAAAGAGCGGAATGAAACATCCATCAAGTGAATCGTTGACAATGAACCGAATGCAAAAAGATGGACGATGGAAACTGACCGTTGTCAAGCCGCTTGACTGATACTGGTCGTCCTTGTTGCAATAGAACACTAGTTCACGCACTGCTTTCGGACTATCCCAAGTGTACATGACGGACATTCCGGCATCCAACTGGTGTACTTGCGAAACTCCGCTGCAAAGAGCGTTGGGCAAATGTGCCAAATGAAGCGCGTTTAGAATTCGCTGATATAAAGAAAGTGGTGTAGATAGAAGAACCAAGCAAAGGCGGCGATTCGTACAATGAGGAAAGTGGCTAGGCGAATGCATTCAAAGCTGCCTGCACGAACTCTGGTGTTCTTTAGGGAACCATTTTGCCCCATTATTATTTTCCACCTACGTTACCTCAATCCCCGTCCCTGAAGAAGCCATCCTGCTAAAGTATGCCGACAATGTAATTCTTGGTGTCAATTATCCAAGCATAGAGTCATCGACCAAGCTATAAACCCTATTGGACATCCTCATAGCTTGGTACAAATACCGTTGCCTATCATTAAACACATAAAAATACAAGGACGTCCTTTTTACGTTGTTCAAATGAAATCGCTACCAGCAAATTCTGACACAGCGTCGATAACTTTGCATTGAAGGTGAATATTTGACCTCTTCCACTTCAGTAAAATACCTGGGAGTGACGCTGAGCAGTAGGCTTATGTGGTCCCTTCACGTGAACGAAAGATTCGCTAAGGTTAGAAGACTCCCATTCTATGTTACACATCTCAGGTATTTTTTCGTACTCCGATTTTCGATTCAGCGTTTGTTATCCTACTGGACCTATTGGTCTCCCGTGACCTTTCCTGGTCTCCTGTGTAAGGACATTAAAGGAAATGTCAAATCAGTGAAGTATCTACCTCGGTGTAGTGGAATTTTAAGGATAAAAGTTATCAACATTGTTTCCAGGTACGTCAATTTCTGTGAACAGTTTGTATCTAAAATATTCAGAGGCGTTAGTAATCCCCTGCACAGGGCGTTGTGCGAATGCGTATCAACCTCCTGCTCGGCTAGACAGATGTAAAAAACTATGTACACCTACACAACGGCTTATGGTACAACTGTAGTTCCTTGCCTGCCACCTTTTTGAACGATAAAAATTCAGTCATTCAAGAACTGAGTAGCAAATTACTCTAGCGATATTTCCTCTACCAAATCGCTTTTTTAACGATCCGCATTTACTATGCTTTTGCATTCTTTATCCCACTCCGTGGTGTGTGCGTTAGAGCTGAAAATTCACCCTTCATGAGTGCATAAAAAGCACATTCTTGACTTGACAGCACATGAAGCCAATGGCATTTGGGCATTAAGGATGATGAGGACAATAAAACCAATAGTTTAATGATGCCAAGAAATGTAATAAATGAAGAACTGGACAGTGAATAGCGCCTACCAGACCACCATGTCTTACCGCTGACTGTAATACATGGGCTGATTGTCGCCCAGATGATTGACGATGCGGACCAAAGCCATACCTTCTTGGTATAGCTGTAGGGTGATTACTGTGGCCTCTTCGGTGGTGTGCACCACAACGAAAATTCCAGCATACTATAAAGCAGCAAGAATAGTGAATAATCAAGTGGAGCTGACTGATAGTGTGGTAGAAACTCAGCCAACCAGACGACATTCAGCCAAGTACATGAATGTTGCCTAGGAACGAAGCGACTACAGACAAACGAATTATATGCAAGTATGGATCGTACAGTCAAGTCAAGAGGCGATAGGCTTGTTAAGGCATAGATGAAATAAAGATAAGCAATACCAATGAACTATATAGAGAGCAGAAGTAACGCATGTTGCTGTCAGATATAATGATGCAGAGAAGAAGACCAAAATAAGTGAAGTGAATAAAAAGTGTTGAGCCTAGCACAAGAATCTGTTAGCCAGGCGAGTCAAGTAAGTCTTTTTTATGGCCTACTATCTTTCCTTATTCATATCATACAAATTCATACTTGTGCCTCTGTTACTTTCATCTCAGCAGAATCTGGAAGCGAACAGAGGTCTGTAGTTTGGCAAAAGTGGAGAGATAGGAGCATTGTGCAGAGGTTAAATATTTCCATCACAAAAATGTCACCGTATGAAATCCAGCAAAGTATGTTTGGTGCATTAAACGACAATGCCCATTCATATGCCACAATTAAATGTTAGGTGTAAGGATTCAAGCGCAGGAGGGATTTTTGAATATGAACGCAGATCAGAGAGCCCATCAAGCAGTACCACCAAAAAAGTCTGACCCTGCAGTGGACATGATCATGCAAGATCGCAGATAAACAACTCGTCAGATGGTGTACTTTGTGTATCACCCAGGAGCGAGCATATACTATTCTGGCGAAGTTAGATAACTCAAAAGTTTCTGCTCGATGAGTGCCATGTGTTCGGACTCCTAAGCAGAAGCGCATTCGGCATGTGATGTCAAGGAACAAGTTGGAACTGTTTGAGCAGGATGTCGATAATATTCTTTTACGATTCATCACTGTGCATGGATTCGCGGTCCACCAGCATCAGCCAGAAAGAAAAACATGCCTCGCCTCCTAAGCTAAAGAAAGGCCAAGTCATACCATCAGTCAGCAAGGCAATGGTATCTGTTTTATCGGGATTCTCGAAGCGTGATGATTGATTTCCCTGAAGGAGGTCGTACCATCACCGCAAAGAATTACAATGAGCCTTTGGAACGTCTTAGAGAAATATTGAGAAAAGCGGCCAGGAATGCTGACGACAGGAATCATTTTTCACGATGGTAATGACTCAGATCACACCTCTTCGACTGATCAGAAAACAATCCATGATTAAGGTTTCTAGTTTCTTCCTTACTCATCTTCACCAGATCTGACCCGCCGCTGGCTTACACTTATGTCCGAACTTGAAAACACAATAGTTGACGAACATTCCCGCAACGACAGTGACGTCATTGGAGCCGTAGATAAGTTGTTAAAGCTGCAATCTGAAGTCTTCCACTAGGATAAGGGCGTCTCAGCACTGCTGGAGCGAGTGCGCTGCGCCTGAGGGTAATTAAGTCGGAAAATGAACAAAAAGTGAAAACTCTTTATCTCATTTGAACTTTGAGGAAATAGACTTTTCATTCATCCTTTGTACAACTAGGGAGAGACTTCATACTTGATGGGAACAGATTGGTCAATATGGAAAAGTACTGTAAGTGTTATTATTATTATTATCATCACCATTAGTAGGAGTACCATTTGCAAAGATAGCCAATGCCCTCTTTTCCTCCATTACAAGACCAGCGCTAGAATACAGCTCGCCCACCTATTAGCCGAGAACTCGAGGCGAGGCGCAGAAGATTGCACGGGTCCAACCCGTCGCTATTAGGTTCGTCTCCAGTTTTCGGGACTTACCGTAGGAGGACAGGCGCGAAAGGCTGGAACTGTACACCCTGGTATATCGGCGGTTAGGAGTCGACTTCAACATGACCTACCGCATTCTACAAGTCGATTGAGAATATGGGACCGAAACGCGTATCATGGCATCGGGGAATGCAAATACCAACGCACCGCGCGCGTGCAGACCCCTACTCTAAGGGACTAGGACGCATGAACTGTTCTTCAGAGTACTAATGCTGAGAGCGGGATTTTCGGTCAGCTAGGGGATGTGATCGTAAGCCGAAAACTCAACCGTAGTGGTGAGAGGCCGACCAGTTTTTCTGGAGTTGCCCGAACTTTCGCACCAGTTTCAGAACGTAACACCCATTTGCAGGCCGCAATCCCGCGTTCATGCGCACTTTGTAGCGTTTAAACCACACGGACCATACAAGTGAAGAATCACCACACGCTGACCAACAGCCACGCATTGTAATACCGATTGAACAGAAGTCACCGAGGAATGTGCTTCACTGTGATCCATCGCTCACTGTTACAAAATAGCAACCACAGTAATCTGGTTTCTGCTGGCCAATCAAATACTGGTGGGTCGCCATAAAATGCTAGCGAGCATCGTTGTCGCATTATTCACATTCATCTAGGATCTTGGCGGTCGATTTACCTAACTTGTGCCTGTCTGTCCACACACAAGTTGTCCAGTGAGCATTTTGGTAATCTGAAGAACGGAGTTCATGTGTCCTAGTCCCTTGGAGTAGAGGGCCTCCACGCGCGGTGCGTTGGTATTTGCATTCCTCGGTGTCATGATACGACTTCCGGCTCCATATTCTCAATGGACCTGTACATTTAGGTGAATCCCCCAAGCTGAGGACATTGCTCCACGTGCGAGCACCTCGCATAACACGCGGAAAGCGGTATAAGCTTATGGTTTCAGATCTGAAGCGTTCCCCACCCTCTGTGGGTTGAACGGGGAGTGACCAGTATTTAAAACAGTTTGCCGGAGCATCCAGTGGAAGCAAACTCGTGCATCAAATCAGAATATTGCTAGATATTGCTAGATTCCGAGAACGATGACCCGTTGAGATCTCACAAATTACGGAATTACACATTTTTACAATATCAGGTGAGAACTTGAAAAGCGAGTAGGGTGTTGAAAGGTCATGGATGGTTTGTTTTTTAACGTTTATGATCATATTTAGATGAATTGTACATATTCCATTTTCTACCTGCTTCCACAATGCGGGGTTCAGTATTATCCACAAATAGGAAGGGAAAACAACGTGGCACCGCGATGCATCACTCGAACCAAATGAATAGTGAAGACGGGAAAGGTTGACATCCCACACTGACGACAATGCATTTTCCTTTACCCAAATAAAGAAACACAAATATCTAACAGCCAACAAAGTGGGTAGCAGAAACAAGGCTCAATGTGCAAACTATATACCTAGCCTAACTGCAAAGCCAGGTGAAGAGTAATAAAGGATGGACCCTTAAACAACGGTGTGTCAATCATAACGAACAATCACGCTTTTACCTTTCCTTGCAATTTCATCAAAACGGAGTGAGATTCGTAGAATGGGAAAGCCTCTGTGACGAGCTGCTCGTTGATACGGCAGCAAAGAAGCATCTTTTTGGATGCAGTTGCTCTGGGCCAAAACGGGACAGCTTCTCCAGCTGGAATTTGAATCCACTTGGCGCGCTGGTCGAGAGGTTTGGCTGGTGACTGATTGTCTTGAGCACGATCCGTTGAGTCATCCACTTCACAACACTCCAAATTGATCTAAGTGAGTATAGGACGTCAGTTTAAGTGATCAACATCCTTGAGAAGAAAATGTAGCGGGAGAAGTGGACAAGGGGGCGACAACGCGGGCGATATGCAGGTAAGGTAGGAGAACTTAAAAGGAAACTTACCGAAGATTTGTTAACCAACATGAAGTAAGGCATCAAGGTGACGATCTTCGTCAGACCCGAACTAGAAAGATCAATCTTGACGCCAATCTGCGACAAAAGTTGGGAGAAACAGGTCTAAAGTCAACAATTAATTGCATTGTGGTTAGTCGTACAGAAGAAAGCAAAGACACAAAACGAGGAATGAAATTTGGTATAATTGAGTAGACTCTCGAGCTCGGCATTAAGCGGACAGGAACGCAACAAGCGGAGGCCAGAATATCGTAACAAGTGAAGCCTGAATCACTTGGCACCAAGTTAAGGCGGGATTTACGTGAACGCTTCCCTGTGCCATAAGCAGCGCATAACAGAAATAGATCTGAGTATAAATAATCTAGTACAAGAAAAGGATCGAGACGCATGGCGGAATAGTGTAAGTCTACATAGCCCACCACCGCCTTCCATTTCTCGTCTACTTAGCTTACATGCTAACGAGGTGAAACATAGGGTCAAGATGAGAAGGAGAATGAACATAGCACTCACAGAACCTTGGTATGTGTTCAATCCCTGCATGATTCACGAGATCAAGCAGTTTTGTGCCGCTAGTCGATGATAAAGACAACTCGCTAAATCAACCATGTGCTGTTTGATTCTCTCATTCTGAGAAGTGACTTCGAGGTTCGATACTGCTAACTAGTTTCCACACTGAACTCCAATCTCTCGGCATCTAGTGAATTAGCACAAAGCTGACATACCGCCACCCAAGAAAGTAACAATGTGCATTACAGATGACAAAGAAACTGCGTTCATACCATTACCAGCTGACCACCGTAGTTATGCCCTAGCAGCACAATAGAGTCTGTAATGAAGCGGAGTAAGGAGACTAGAAGGATTTCAACGTACTCGCAGTCAGTGTGTTTCGCCTGTGCGGGAACTAATGTGCGTGAAGACCGATTAATCTTCTCAGTAACTGAGAATGCGATGGGTAATTGGGTACTTGGTCGGACCACAGTTGTAACCGACTTTAAAACGGATTATTCCTACTGACGCAACATTGTTATAAGCTGCTTAGCATGGATCACGCTCGAAATCAATTTTGACTACGTGATCCAGTAACAGAAGTGAGACACAAATGACAGGGCTTCGCAACATCGGTTAGCTCATGCCCCCATATTCAGCTAACGAGACAGTAGGGGGAATTTTGCCATAGCAATCTCGTCGGTGTTCCTGTATACGACTGATCCAGATTCGTGCGAATACTCGCAAGTGGTGAACGTGTGTTTACTTGGGAAAAGGAAGATTTCGGTGGTGGCAAGTGATAGTGATAAGAAAAGCTTGCACACATTCGTCAACTTTCGCAAAACGCACCCGTGACTTCTGTGAAGAATGACTGTGCGATACTACCAAAGTCACCACGTGCACCTTTTAGCGAAAAATTAATGACTGATTAAGCGCCAAATCGACCTTCTCAGGGGCTTCCCACAGATTTCGGTAAAGAAGGGCACGATCGGTAGAAATTGATAGTGACAGTCGGAAGAAAGCTAAGAGGCTGTCATTCAGAGGTTCAAGGATACCTTAAGAGATTCTAGCGTCAGACAGTCGGGAAAAAGTTGGCATGAGGTCTCCATAGGCAAGAAGACTAACAGTGACAGATCGGTGGTACTCAAGAAGATCATCGCAGTGACGAGGTCAAACATCTGGAAGACCGGTGAGGGGCTGCAAATGGGAGGTATTAGAGACGCAAATTAGATCAAAAGTCGAATTTAGCCAAGAAAAGATTTCCACAAGGTGCACTGTTTAGAAAAGGCAAACAAAAGTCGAACTACATTAAAGCTAGAAGAAAAGTGACCAGAAGGTATGTTCCACAGGATCGGTGGTACAAAGGCAGAGAATCTGGTCCACGGAACAATGCACTTTAGAAATCGTCCGATGGAGTCTGATGTAACCGGGAGGGGTCGTAGAGCAAATAGTGGGACACATCAAGTGAGTGTGATTGATCAATCTCAAAAAGCGCATGTTTACGAGCTGACAGGTTGACAACGTGGATATGCATAACCACTTGATATATTGAAAATGCGAGGAAATAAAGTGTAACAGCATATGATTAGTTGGCCGTTGTCTATGTCATCGTGGCAAAGCCACAGCTCGACAAGCAATACTTTATCTACGGGCCAGTAAAAAAGCCACTGGTCTTGGTTGCAGCAAAGTAATAGGTGCAAATGATCAGTAGCAAAGCTTTGTCTCAGACTGACATCCGGATATACTAAAATAACTGAGGCATCTGGGGGGAGGGGAAGTTCTGAAGGAAAAGTTATCAGATGTTTTAAAATGCTAGACAGCAACCTCATGCGGCTCAGGTTCGTTGCCCATATTAGGAAGATTAACGGTGATGAAGTGGATGATAAATCACAAAGAGCATAAATTGGACTGCATCGTGAGGGACAGAAGAGGAGGACGAGTTGGTAGAATCGGAAACTGGGACCGGTCCCAGTAAAACAACCGAGTGGCCGAGTGGTCTGCATCGGCCGGTGGCCGAGTGGTCTGCACGTTTGCTTTGCAACCATAAGGTCACCGGTTCGAATCCGCGTAGGGGTGGGCGTCCTCGCGGTATACTCAGCCCGCGCGCGACTGGTGGTGGTCGCGCGGCAGCGAAGCGCCGTTAAGGCGTATAAGCTGACACATTTCTTTTTTTTCTCAAAACAATTAGAAGTTGAATCCTACCAGATATCAGAAGCCTAGAAACAACTCGGACAAAATTCCAGAAAAAAGAAACAAGCGAAACCACCACGGACGTGATCGCTAAGCAAGGTGAGCTACTACGCTAGCTTGACAAAAACCTATTCCCAAGTTAGTTAGTGCGAACTTTGTAAATAGAATTTTATTGGTGCCCGCGGGCGTCCTCAGATAATATGTGTTTCAGTAGATGACAGGTGAACTGAACTCATTAGATGAAAAGCAGAACTCATGCAATGAGGTGAGAGGACGAAATGGTAAATCGTATGTGTGGTTGCATTACTGTAAGAATGGAAAGACGGACCTCGAAAGTCATGAGTTTCGTTTTGCAGTTAACACGCCCGGAACTTCCGACGGTATCCAAGGAGAATTTGTCCGACCAAGATGAATCAGCAATACGTAGAGTGACCTATAACAAAGGAAAATAAAAAGGTTGCAAGGTGGGGTAAAATGTATGGTAGTGACAAAGGAACCACGAAAAGAAGGAGCACGGCAAACAGAGAAGAGCTATTGTGTAGATGCGAGAAAATACGTAACACACAACAACGAACTCAAAGTGAACAGGTTAGGAAAGTAAATAATGTGAAACAAAGCATGTGCAATCATTGTGCGTGATTCGTAGCTAGTACAAAGGGTCGCCCATAAAACCGAAAACAAGAGTAGGATCAACAAAAGGTAGGTACCCGTGACTATTGGAAGTTGATGGACTGTGTCGCAAAACAAGTGCGCGATAAAGAATAAGAGGAAGAAGGAAAACTGCGAATGGTTCAACGAGACCGGGTACATTATGGATAATGCTTGCATTGTTGAATGCATGCAGGCGATATGTAACAGGGACAGCAGACGTGTATCATAAAAAGATAGAAGGAGTGGTAATCTGAGACATTCCGAATTCACTATCCTGTATAGTTTCAGAGGAATGCAGACAGTCATAAGAGCGGAACGAAGGTGAAACTAGTACTCATTCGCAAGTTGAAAATGAAGAACATATGACGCATTCAGTGATTTGGAGCTGGCCTTGACGCTAAAGACAAGTGGAGGAGAGTCTCCAATAACGTACCATTTAGCAGCTTTTGAAGAATCCGATCAAGGAATAATAGATAGTGATTAGAATTCTGCCAATCCAGTATGTACCAACCAGTCATCAGTGCTGCTAATTGTTTGATGTACAAGGAGTGTTCAAAAAGAAAAGCTCTTGTTATGATACCTTTATTGCGCCTTGCGCAACATTTTAAGCAGTTTCCCCACCAAAGTAGCCCCCTCTACTGGCAATATACCGTTCCTAATGGTGCTTCCATTTTTGGAAAGCCTCTTGGAACGCCCTCTTGTCGCATTGACTTGAATCTCCTCTATGGTCTGGAAACGACGTCATTCTAACGTGATTTTAAGTTTGGGAAAGAGGAAAAAGTCTGCGGAGGCTAGGTCAGGAGAACACGGTGGTTGGGACACAACGAAAGCGTGATGTTTTGTTGGATAGTTGCGGACAAGGAGCGATGTGTGAGCCGGCGCATTGTCATGACGCGACATCTAAGTCTGGTTTTCCCACAATTCATGTCTCTACCTGCGCACAGTATCCCTCAAACGGGCTGAAAATTGATGGCATGATCTAACGCTGATGTACACTTCGTCAGCAAATTCCCAAACAGCTAAACGACGAGTTATATGCAACACAGCACGAACTCTCTGTATGGGCATAGTTTGTTAATATGGAAAGTCGTCCAGGCTTGGGATCGTCACCGACCGACATTCTACCGTGTACAAAAAGTAAAACCACTCATAGCACTGTGTGTGACTCATACAGTCCTCCACGTATGCTTGGCTAAGCAACTGGAATGTCTCCGTAAAAGTTTTGTCAAGTTTGCAGCAAAATGTCACACACACGCGTTCTTCAAGTACTTTCATTGTCAATTTGGCATGGGCCTAACTCCGAACGGACGGACAACGGCGAGCGTCTGCTGCAACTGTGCGAGGAGCATCAGCTGTTTCTTAGTAGCACTGCTTTTAGACAGTGGGCGCCGAAGTGCCACTTGACGTGCTCCTGTAACTGATCAGCGATGGACCCAAATAAACCACATGACCATTAGATACAGGTCGTTCGTCCTGAGGTACTTGCGTAGACTCTGATCATGCCTTGGTAAGCTGTCGTTTTTCCATGAACATTACTGGAAGACATACAAAACAGCTCCTACGATTAGCAACTGAGAAGTTATCTCAACGCTCGGCCAGGCAAAACTAACAGGATGCACTGCGTACCGGACTTTCGCTCACTTGTTTTAATGAGCTTCAGTGGAATAGGATCCCGGCCGCCATGCAGGATGCAGGAGCATCTCCTTGGGGTACGATCAATTGTCATCGCACCAGTCACTGGATATCGGAGGCAGATGAACCTGTTGGAATGCAGAATAAACCTCCCGGCTGCCTCTGAACACAATGTAACTAGGCGGACTATTCAGTGAAAACTATGGTGTAGCCTGTGTGATAACAAGAAAGCCTATTGGACCAGTCGCGCTCGAGAAATGGATGAAGCGAGAGCAATAGGCAAGTATCACAAGTTTTTCCAACTGGTCCCCATCATCGAAACCAAGGAATCAGGCGTCAGTGAGACAATCAGAGACAGTGCGGGTGCCATGATTCGCAATAAGGAATGCCGTATGGCTCGTTGGGCTGGGCGCTTTCAAGATCAGTTCAGCTGTACCACTGCTCCCGGAGCTCTGCCTATGCAGGTGATACAGGACGTTTAATTTAGAGACTCCATCAGAGGCTGAGGTCCGAAACGTGATCACAGCCCTCAATCGTTTTCGTGCTACTGGCCCGGATCCCCTCCCACATGCACCATTTAAGGATGGAAATGAGGTCCGCCGCAAAGCAATGACCTCCCTGTTCGAACATGTCTGGAAGGAAAAGATCTTCCAGGCTAACTGGAGTGATGAAATTACGGTGGAAAGATACAAGACGGGCGGATATGCTAACCACGGCGGTATTTGTCTAAGGACAGTTCTGACAAAACTAATGGCCTCAATAGTTATTCGTCGCATCACATCAGAACGGGAATTATCATCATAACTACACGTTAGCTGAGGGTGAGAAAGACGCCTTAGGTAGTGCCACAATACAAAAAGCGCAATGCAGGCACACAAACAACGCACGTCGCGGGAATCGATGTGCTGGCATGCGCAACACGTGGCCCAGTCATCGGAGCCCGGTGCGTAATCTAATGGTGCTGAGCGATTCACTCGCTCCTCCTGCCCCAAATACGAGACACCGAACACGCTCATTGATCACGTGGTGCTCCCACCATACGAGTTAAGCTGCGAAGGCGGCGTGATCGAAGGTGGCTAGTCTCTTTATGTCTACCGACCTGATGGGCCAAATTTCACGGCTATGTTTAGTCTGACAGATATAGGGTGGTGCAAAGCTCGAGATAGACAGAAGTTGATTTGTCAGCGGGAAATGAAGTAAATGGCGAACAAACTCGGTGCTGTGGATCCTTCTCGCCTTCCGGACTGGAGTCCAGGTGACCAGCCTTATGCTTGGACTCGAGACTTTACAGGACATAGCTCGCAATCGACAGTTGTGAAGCGTCTGCTTTCGCCTCCTAGTCGGACTGTCTGTTTAAAGTGGGTTTGGTGCTGAGTTGTCTGCGGTATAATGGGTGATTACAGCCCGCGGCAGTGAAAACTGCAACGAAGCTGTCTCTCTGATGCCGTTTTATCTTTGCACGAGGGCCGGTTTCTTGTGACGGTATGTTGCCGACACAATGTGCAGGCTCTTTGACCCTGAAGGTTTGTGTAGGACATTAAGGATTTCTGGTAAGTCCCCCTTCCCTCCCTGTTATCTTCCTTCCGTAGGCCATTATGGTTGTATGGCAGAGAAGCATCAATTCAAATGGCTGGTGTATAGTTGTTGATGATGAAGAGGTGGTGAATCCAGCTGTGGTGAGCACATAGTCATGATGATGACAACTGTCATCAAGGAAATTGGGAAAAGAGGAAGAATGCAAAAATATGAAGAATACTAGGGAGGAATTGCCACACGGTCCACGCGACAGCATACGGGAGGCCCAGGCTACTGGTGCAGCCGAACTCGTGTGGCATCTAGAAAGACAGCATGGACTGGACTAAACGAGTTGATCAGTCAATCCCTGCATGCCTATACCAACTAGCTCATTGGTTGATCACCCGAACAGTTCGACTGATCAGGCCTAGTGTTCGGAAACGATGCACGAGAAGACCGACAGGTGCATGATAGAGATATAGCACAGTTAACATAGACGGTTTGAGTGCTGAAGATGATTCAGTGGTGCATCAGTATGAACATCAGAATCAAACACTTGATGATCCCACTGTATGCATTGGCAGGTACGTGGGCATTCATGGACTAAGACGATCAATCCGTCAATGTCTACGTTGCACTGCGGCGATGCCTTTGACTCATGCGTCAAAAGCAACAGAATGGTAGCGTAATGCAACAGTAATACCGTAGATATTCATTACTTTCGAACAACGATCACTAGAGAAGTAAAGCGGAAAATGCGAGCAGGATAACGGAATGTACGTCGAAACACTGCGGTTTGTACTCATGGTTCGAACATACTTATTACAAGAGGAAAGAGAGACAGTAAGGGCTGCTGGACGACCGATGTGACATATAACGCGCACCCTGGAAGATTGTCTGTGCAGTAGTATATCAGGTCAGGGAGAAAGTCTGGATGTGCACTAACAAGAACTACGAAGTCAAAAAACACTACACAAAATATAGGTAACGGATATGCGAAAGAAAAGCAACAGCAGAAACAGAGATGGACAGTTACGATGAAGTTCAGTGGAGAAGAGATATTCTCCTGCTACCAATTAATATCTCCAGGATCCCATCTCCTGCTCTGACACAATGCTCCGACTTTCAAGGCAAATGGAGCCGGCGAGTCTCAGTAGCCTAACTATAGAGTACCACAGATGCCAGTATAAGATCGATTGTATCTGATCTTTGGAGACTTAGAAGGGCTTATGCATATTTTTCCACACCAACAGTGTATGAACCTGCGACACCGGGCACACGCAAGTGAGCATAAGCAGGTCTACATCTCATTGACTAGGAGCTATCTAGGGCTCTCTGCCCTAAGGAGCAAGGGTGGCGCTCCCCAACCGTCAGCGATAACCCGTGGCAATACTGCTCTACGTTAGTCGAGCTGAGCTTATAACCAGTAGGCTTTTACCTCTCATGGCTGTTCTGAAGCAATGTGTCTCCGGAACCAAGGATGAGGAGAATACCCAGACTGGGTCTGTCTGATCTATAACTATTAACCTGTCTAGCGTGAGTGGATGTTGAAAAAATGAAAGGTGCCACCCAGTGTATGCTAGTAGACCACAAAGGTAGGCAAAAGATAACGCCACCGGACAGTGCGATGATCACAATCCCGCAACACAACAATGAGACACGTCGCTTGGGAATAGTCGCTGTGCATATTCTCAATGAGGTGCATACGACCGATGACTGCTTCGCTGATCATCCCAACCTAACTTCTGCAAGATGATGTATAATTCCATTGTGCTTCCTGTTCATTATTGATTATCAAGTGACATGAACTAGAAAGAGAACTTCAAAATGGTCACTTGAAGAACGTTAATGTCGTTACGGAATCAAGTGTTCGATTCTTCACTACGACTAGTTCTGCCAGCCTTGATTCGTCTATCAGGTAGTAAGCGGAGCAGACAAGTAGGGTGTACTAACTGTTTAGTAATACAGTAAACAACAGTAGTGGCAGGGTGGAAACTTTCAAAAAAATAACAACAGGTAGTCAAATAAGACATCGGTTCGAATGAAAGTAGGCAGTAAGGATATCAAAATGTCCACACACACCGCCTTGCGCCCTATGGTGATGGTAGCAACTGGCTCAGGTGACTGGAGTATACAAGTAGCCAATGAACAGCGACCCAATTAAGCGGTGTTTACGCATCACTGAAAAACCATAGGAAAACCCAGGATTAGTTGCGTTTAGAAAGGGCGACGTGAAAAGTAGCCAAAATCGAGGAGAAGGCTGATTGGCGCGGACAGCGACAAGCAAGTGAACTGAGAAAACAGAGACGAAAGCGGAGAAATTAGAGATATTAATAGGTCGATGTAAATCTTAGTGAAGAATAAAGAGCCGCTCGTTGTGTCGCAATCCGGATAGGCGGCAGTTACTCCTAAAACCAACAACAAACTCTAACTGCTGTGTCGAGCGCTGCTCGAGAGATGCGACTGCCCAATGATCAAGGCGTCAGTTTTGACCAGATAGGAGGCGGGTTCTACCTATAGCTTCGATTATTTCTGCCTGTAGGATACAAACAAGGATGAAACGGAGCGTAGAGCGCACTGTTGGGTGCAGGGAACATTGAAAACTTCCACTATGAGGCACAAGATTTATGAGCATCAAATTCTGATTCTCGGGATGCTATGCGACGACCGTCCTAGTCTGGTAACGAAGCGATAAAATAATTACTCTGGTGAGCAACAACCAATGACTAGCATGTAGGCACCGTTGGAGTGAAAGCACAAGTTCCACAGGCAAAGTCGAAACAGACCGGACCAGAGGAGAAAATAGTAAGGGCACTGCAGTTTGTGATAAGAAGCGAGAACACGGATAAGTGCGGGAATTCACCATGACAGAAAGTGCGCATGGATGTGGAGAGGGGCGATTTTATAAGACACCCAACACACACACACGTTGAAGTGGTTATAAAAGAAAAACTAAACCGCATAGGAGAGCCAGCCAATGGAAGTCGGTGGTAAACACCTTATGCTTTTTTTGAAGCGTTGGTGCACGAGTGAAACCAAATTGTTTACGTTTCCGTGGTTTCTGGAGCTTAGACTCGTCGGTGACGGATGCTGGCGTATTGAAACCGCATCCTAGGCTCTTCAGCATTAGTTTAGCCCGGGACGGATTCTCAGCGCTGGAAGGGACCTTGAAAAATTAATTCAAACAAAATAGCACATTACTTACATTGCCGAATTAGCTACGCGCAAGACAATGTTGCCAAAGACAAAGAAGTACGCCTTATTTTGCATGTGCAACAATGACGATGGTGGTGGCAGTGATGTGATGACGACGACAGTGAGGATGATGCAGTTACCGCTACTCTAATTGAAAGTCATGTTTCAATAGGGCATTCAACCACAAAAAATACCAACAAGGCCACGAATGCAACAAACGAAATTTACTGTCCTTACAATTTGGCTGTAATGTACTTCACGTTGCACCATACATAACGTCTACTCCAGGATGACATATCAAGCCAAAGTCGGCCCGACGCGAAAGAAAAGCACGCGCCCCTCGTAGGCAGTCAGCTAGAGTACGGACAACAGAAGATTGGTAGTCATTGTTGAGATTGACATGGCGAATAGCGCTCGTGACAACACCAGGTGTAGTGATGGGTCCCATTATAGGATCTTCACTGCTCGGCTTTAACTGTGAGTGTAGCTGATAAGCAAGACATCCCGAAACTAACATACGTAACTTATACGTTGATTGAGTGCCGGTTATGGCCGGGTCAATTGTAGCTCTCAGATGCATGCCACTCAATATTTCAGTCCCCCAGGCCTCCGCTTGCGTAGACGCAAGCCACCTAGGGCCAAAGTCGCAGTGAAAAGTACACCGGAAAATGAATGGCTCTAAACGACGATAGACATGTAAGGACCCCATACAAGCGCTGAAATCAGAAACGATCACGCGCACTGAATGGACATGAACCGAGTGGTCACCGAGCAGTCCGTTAGATTTACAATGGCCCACGATTTTCTCACATTTCCCCCCCCTTTGTCTCTAAGTTATCACTTCATATTTTTCGACATTTGCTTGCTTCGCATTTATCGCTGTCCGGGCCAATCAGATCCCATAGAGCGGTTGAGATCAATGAGAAATGGGGACCAATAGCAGCACGAATATTTCAATCCGTTGAGGGATGGATTACAATTTAGTAAAAATCTGTAAGGCAGTCGCGGGAAATTGCCATTCTCGACATGAAAGTGTAAGTGGAGGAGGTCACGGCACTTGTAGCCACACGAAAAGGGACACTGAAACCTGAAATGGGTTCCACACGATTGAATAAGACAGTTGAAGTGATTCGACAGTGACCGGAAGGTGGTAAACCGAGTAGACAAATGCACACTGGGCGTACAAAAGTAACAAAAGAATCAATTACGACTGAAAAACCAGTAGATTTTGTATAGTCCACAAACATCATGAAGAACTAACCTTACGTTTTCCGAAAACGGATTTCGCTAACGAGGAGAACAACAGAGCACCAGAAAACGAAGCAGGGTGATTGATCTCGGTTTCATCTGAGGACTGCGTGATAATCAAATGCGGAAAAAACGATCGTTTAGTAGTGAACCGATTGGTCGCGTACATAACGGGGACTTGGAAAATGGCATTGAGAAAGGAGCTGCAGAGCTATTTGGTTTCAATTGTATGAAATTTAATAACAGGCAGAATAGGAGTCGTGTATCAAGCACTAGTTCAAACATATGTGCACACATATGCTTGAGGGGGTGAGCGTTTAACAACATAACAAAAACACACCCGTATCATAGTACCTAGTATCATAGCACATCTGCCAATACTCCAAAATGAAAGTTACTTAGAGCGCAACATGCTCCAAACTCAGTCAAGGAGAGTAAACTTTATTCACATTCAAGCGTAATGGCCCGGTAAGATTAACGCGTAAGTATGCTAAATTGTTAAAGAGGTAGGTACTTAGGGCGAAGTGGTCAGACCAGGACGGAGTAGTCAGAACTTGCACCAAGAGCTCTGACGGTGACAGGGAGTGAATGACACGCACAGAGAGGTCAGGAATGATTGGATACAACCTAGAAAACATGTGGTGTAAAGTTGATTGAGGCTAAGAATACTGAGTTAACCAGAAGTGAACAAGGAATGGCAATACCTCATATGGCATTTAGAAATGGCAAAAAGAAGCACATGTGTGACGTTCCGAATATAAGTACATTGGAAAATTACGGATGTTCAGCTTCTAGACCTTATGTGCGCCATCTGATAAGGTTGAATCAGACCAAAATGAAGTGACTTAATAGTATGACTAAGTAAGACAGAAATCAAAAAGCTACAACTTTGGAAATCGTAGTTGCGTAGAAGATTTAAAGATATGGAAACCTTAAGGAGGAAGTGTGGGCCGGCTCCGTTGATGAAACGTGGCTCCCATTCACATGCCTCCCGATCCTATTCCTTCGGGTTTAAGCTGGATATGGGGTGTGTGGGTGGTGCAGAGCAAGCCACCCATGGTCCCTCTGAAGGCGCAGGTGGCTGTCCTATGGAGGCCGCTGTGACAGGCACATCCGGAAGGTCGGGTAGTTCTCCTTCGCTCGAAGCGCGCATATGGTTAAAGTGAGTTATGCAAATAAAGAAATAAATATATGGTTGACCTCCATAGAATAGCTACAGGACACCTGGGCCTACAGAGGGACCATGGGTGGCTTGCGCTGCACCACCCACACACCCCATCTCCAGTGTAAACCCGAAGCTAATCATGATGTCAAACAGCGACTCAGAGTCATAAAACCCATGGCTTACCCGGCGACAGTAGCAGTGGAGTTGCACAACCAATCCAGAACAGTCATGCAAGGAGTGGAGCTAATCGCACATTTGAGGGTGACTTTGTTCTGTGACCTAGCAGCATGACGCTTATGATAATAGCAGAAAACAAAAAGATCGGTCGTATGTGGCACAAACCGAATGGACATAGAATTAGAGGTCATCGTTGGATAAAGGTACTTGGTTTAAAACGCTCACCGAGTGCATCATCAGTGGAAAACTGCCTCATGTTACTTAAAGTGACCCGGATGGCAGAAACTGATATAGAAATCGGGGGGCTCGCCATGTAACCAAAGGATGCAGTGTGGACACAAGTAGACACTACACCACAGTCTCGCAGAAGCATAGAAGAGTAGCGGTAACGGTTTGATAGGGTACCCATAAGATATAGTATGCCCGTGTTCGAAGTGTCCTCTGTTTGGTTTTAAACAGAGTGATCAGCCAATTCGTTTGTTTCTATCAGCCGCTTCCCAGTGAGTCAAATCCTGTGCAGTAACAATGTGTGTAAAATGGGTCACACGATAATCATTAGTGGGAACGTCCACAAATGTATTTATATTCCAGGAAGTTCCGCTGAACACACCTGCTTAGAATGAGACTACTTGGTGGCATGACAATTTTGGCTGCCCATTAAAAGGTTGTATTAGTAAGAATAACTAGGCGGATGAACATGTGGGTTAGTGTTGACAATGCAACAATACCAGCCCAGCTGCTCAGTTAAAAATAGAAAACCGCACGTCAAGAGCCAACGACATGAAGATACTTTGTGTAATGAGAGGGCTCTAACCCATCTTCACCGGATGCTGCAACTCAGGACAGTTTCGAGAAGCACGAGCCCAGGTTGGGGTGAGCGAACACCCACTCCCATATAGACACTCACTGGGAAGATATTAAGAGGCCCATAAATGATATCGAGTGAATAAGCGGTAAGTCTGGAGAAAGAGGTGTTAGTTGGAGTACGAAGAACCCAATTCTCTGCAACATTTATTTTTTAAGCTAGAATGGGTCAATTCTGTCGCATTAAAGACAACAGAAAGCTGCTTATGAGTAGGGGGGGGGGTTTTGTGCCGATTAGAGATGACAGTCGCATGACGGTCGCATGCAAAAATCACGCAACGGCATGTAGAACACAGGGCACAGGAGGAAAGTTGACTATGTGGGTCTCGGAGCGCTTATCACAATTGCCACGAATTTCACGGTATCAGCCAAAAACCGACGAGTTTGGACTCAAGTACAAAAGAAAACAACGAAGCAGTGACGTAAGGAGTCACACAACTAACATGTAATCCAGGTCTGGTTTTGTTTGGCTGGTATAATTTGAAGTGGTACGCGAAGCAGAAATATAAAATGAACGCTGCACAACCAGCAATTGTAAAGCAACCGCACAGGTGAAACTGGAATCACCTGCGTGCCTGAGGAGCGGCTGTCTCGGCGTGTGTTGTTGTCCAATACCTCTCCAGATTCGGATAATCCCCGAGATAACCAGTCAATAACATGGTAACAGAAAATGCAAAACTCACCGGAAGTCTAAGTAGGAATGGTTTCTGCCGACTACCTGGACGAGGACTTTGGGATTTGCGAAATCGATGGTTAGCTATTCCTCAAGATATGATGCACTCCAGAAGTCAATCGTACATTTTCATTCGCTCACTGTTTCATGGCAATTGACTACTCTTGGTAACTTTATTTCTTGTCCATTCCACTTCAAATGCCACTGCTATTATTATTACTACTATTATTTTTCTGAAGTTAGTTAACGAAAATCGATTCGCTGTAGCTCAGCGCATGGACCTCGGTTGACATCAACTGAGGCGCACTTGAACGTATGGGTTCGAGATGTACTAGTGACATTTGTGCCAAGGGAAAAAGATTCAGCTGACGATGTAGTTACTTCATGGAAAATGACTGACAAAGGCTCATGAATGATGCATAATTATCCGTGTTGGAGATTTAACTTAATGGTGCAATGTAGCCCAGAAGGCATCATCCTGTATGTAATGCTGTAAACAAAACCAACCAAGGTGATTTAGCGATGTAAGGGGAGCGCGGAGGAGCATTGTTGTGTGCCGATTGGAAAAAAGTATCCGTAAGGACACTGTGGAAATCAAATTTGAACAATTGCAAACGTATTAGCCAAATTTGCTGAGTTAGTTTGGAACATTTCGGATCTATTTATGTGTTCCCGACACTGCCAACGTACCTATGTGGAGGATAACAGTCGAAGTGCACCCATAATTTCTATAGCAGAAAAGCCATCAATTGGTCTCATTCGATAAATGTTTCCATCAAGTATAATGTGGAACAATTATGTGAGCTGTCGTTGTGAGCGTTTTACCCATTTCAACTTTATGTGACCCTCTGCCACGTGCCTCTACATCCCGTTTCGCACCGACAACAAAAATTAACATCCGCACCAGTGGATCTATGACCAATATGCTGAGTGTTTCAGGTAGATTGACCCCATTCCACGTCAGCGCTCACCCAACACGTCTATTCGTGTGAGTAACCAATTTCATCGTTTCACTTGTCTCTTTATTAACACTGTACACTTTGTACTCAAATTGATCCGAAGCCCATATTATTGGCTTCTTGGCCGAACTGCTTAAGGTTGTGACTGATTTTAGGTGGAAGCGCAATTGTTGTAGTATGTAGGAGTAGTGCGTCCTAATTCGTTGGGAAATAGTACGGTTATCGAGTTCCCGCCTTGCTGATTATTTGATCCCAGTGGAGACGCGTAACTCAACTTAGTCGCTTACATCTTACGTGCTATGTATCCGCCAAAAAGGTGTTCTCACAAAATGGGTGTACATATTGCGTGCTTTATACCTGAAGATAGCAGGTCACACCAGGGTCGACGGTGATTTATCGGATGCTATTCCTATTTATCGTGGAACTCATCGTGGAGTGTTTCCGAGTGTAGTTTTGCGAGGAAGCTACTGAGATTCTGCCTAAACGAAAACTGGTGAATCAGAACCAAACACACGAAATCATCCTACCGACCAATGATTGTGGAGCTTTGCAGTCAACCGTTGAAAAATACCCTAGAATGGTTCCATCCTTTGGCACACGCTTTGAATTTTCAAACTGAAAATTGTTGCTGCAGGACCACGAGTCATCTGTCGACCCTCTGACCCTTGACAACGACAGAATGGATATAGTTGCCCGATTCGGCAACAATGGCAGACACACTAGTGTATGAGGCTAGTTAGCCCACTGAATGCAGGACCCATAACCGCCTTCCTGAAAACAGGATACGTTCTATGTAAAATAGGGATTTGACTTGTTTTTGAAAGTTATATACACGAGAGCACAATGAGAGCGGCTCCGCTTAAGGACAGTGGGTTCAGGCTGCTTAAATGTCAGCCTCTTAAGCGATTGCAAGTCTTTGGTCATCATTGCCCGCGGAACATCGCTCGGAACGGGTGATATGAGCCAGTCCGTAAGCGAATACTAAGCAGCTATGACCAGCGTAGTTCGCAAGATTGATAAATAAGATTGTGTGGGCTGGGATGGTTCGCGCACGTGGTATGTACGTTCGTCCACCAAGAACCGATTGTTCCCAAACTCCTCTGAACTCATGACACCTCAATCGGTTATAAATGTAATCCACAAGTTCGGATCGACGAGTGCTTGCTTCTTTCCTATAACGTCGTATTTCACATGGCTGGAGATGTGTAATAATTGACCTGAAAACAAGAAACCCAGCTGCCGATTACCAGACTGGTCATTGTTGGTCTGTTCAACCTTCCAACACGGGGTGCATAAGATTAACCCTAGAAATTATAAGATATGGCACACAATCAGTTTTTGAGAGACACATACCAAAGGGTGCTGGGTAGAACCAGTAGCATATATGTCTTGCTCGTATCAGCAACAGGATTTCTTCAATAGTGGTAGGATGAGCACCTGCCACAATCGAATTCTGCGCAACCTTCAGACGATAAGTAACGAGAAGTCAAAGTAAGTGAATATATATAGAAAAAATATCGCCAGCATTTTAAGCTGCTGCAATCGGATCGCATTTGGGGCGCTCAATAACCGTTTAAAGGGAACATAAAAAATGTCGCTAAAATGTATAGTTGCTGAGGGCGGTTGAAACGAGGAGGATGAACACGATGTAAATGAATATGGGAAAGTTACGGAAAAATAGGAATCCAAAGATGCATGTCGAGTATTGTCAACTGGACACTTTCAGTAGGAGTACAAAAAATTCACCTCAAAGATGACTTACTTTATAGGTCAGATCTTTGCCGGTCTTATTGATCATCCAGTAAGGAGCATAAAGTGTGAGTGCAACTTGACCAAAGTCGGATGCGTTGCGTACTCCTAAATGCTGCGGGGCGTGTGAATATGAGCGCGAAAGTGATATGTGATGGGTGAAAAAATTGTTATTAAACAGTTAGAGTTCCTCGGAACAGGTGTGTAATTGGAACAAAAGCATACCCGAAGAGGCAACAAAGGAACGAATATTTCTAAAAATAATTTTATCTCTGCCAGATGGGAATCAAGACGCGACCAAGGAGTGTGGCTGTGTAGGTCAACAGATGAGGCATAACAGCTGGGATTATTGCGTTCTCAAGATTTCGTGCATAGGCGTCCATAAGAGAGAAGCACACACCACAAACACCGTCGAAGTTTCTAACTAAGCAACTAAACCGGTATGCACATACCGAGGCTCATCGGTAGCAACTATAGTAACACAAGCGGGGCAGAGATAACAGTCGGGGGAATGGAATGAGGAGTAATCGACACAAAGTATGCTAGGCGACCAACACAAAACGAGTTTGTCTAATGCTAAATGAACAGGTAGGCGACTCATGTGCTCGGAAAATGGGGGCAAGAGGTAAGACGATCGATACCGCACGGCGACAGTGGGGCCACATCGGCCCAGGTTCAGGAGACCTCCAAATGAATAAGACGACTGAAAGCTATTAAGTGTCAGTTGCAACGTCAGCCATTGGGAAAGTATTCTGGAGTAACTGGATGGGAGGTCCAGTATGAAAAGGAGGGAGAAAATGCTCGACACTAAAAAGGTTAGCTAGGGACTAGGTAAGGCAGCACAAATAATTGGATTAAAGAAGAACGACTGTGATTAGCTATTTTGTTCTGCTTTTCCTGTCAGGGGCCATTGTTTCATTCGTTTCACATAAGCCACGATAAGCTTAAACGAAATGCAAAAATTCAAGAGGTGCAAGAAAACCCACCATCATCCAGTGTCCAATAATATAAAAATACATACAATGGTGATGGAGTATTGGTGGTTGTTGATGCTGCTGGTATACACGCAGAAACAAACGATGGAGAAGATTGCGACTCCAGAGAAATCTTGTAAACTTAGAATATCAAAACGGCGGATTTAAAGCAATCAAACGAACGTGATTAGATAAATTGGGTAGAAAAAGAACGGTATTTTATATACCTATTAAGCGACCAACCACTGACACACCGGTTTAGACGGAACAGGTAAGCGTTCAAAATTTTATCAGTAGTTCAGCGAGTATGATCGAGATAAGTGATGGAATATAATACACTGAAACCAGTAAGCGAGTCAAAGACATATTCTCGAGAGGTGGAAAGCTTTATGAGAGAAACTCTCATTGGTAAATCGGGGACAAGATTTTAATTGACGGAATGTTGTGTACGATAACAAGCAAATTCGGGCACAGTTGACGGACCGTCATTTGGTTACTCTTACTCAAGGGCATAAAATTACGAGCACCCACAACAACATGTGTCGGTAAAAAAGTGCGATCAAAACTGATGGTTGATCACCGAAAAAAATCGAGTGAAGTTGTTGCATAGGGAAATAGGATGGGAGGGACAGTTTCCCTGGAATGCACTTACCAGAGTTAGGAGTTCATATCCCAAACGGGACTCAAAGGTGCAAACGGTGAGCTCATCCATATTTGAGGTAATACTCAGTGTGCCACGATACAGGTGACCGTCGTAATCAAACTGAGGTGTAGAAAGAAGAAAACAAAACAAACACCTAAAAACAGTTGTTGTAACAAAAGCTTACCGAGACAGTGTAGAATGATGACAATTAGGCTGAATGCTTAGCGTTGCATTGAACTGTAGTACACTTCAACGGGAAAGTGTATGACACAGGACTGTGATAACTTTCAACAGATAAAATCCAAGCCATAATTAATGTAGCAGAGATGAAGAACGTACCGAAACATCGAGAGTGGAATCGAGTGGACTGACCGTTCTCATGGTGCACTGGTTACCAGGCGAGATTTCACCAACTCTGTCCTGGAAGTAAGATTGTAGGGATTCGCTAACAACACCAATCGCAAGGATTATGGTATACTATTTTCGCAATCATTAAAGGAAATCAGAAAGAAAACCCAACAAAAAGATTGTCGGCGAGTAACCAGTCAAATTCTAAGCAGCAGCAAGTGCGACTGACTTAACATACGCCAGAAGCGTTAGCATGAAAGTGATACAAAGTTTAGGTTATTATCACAAGCACGCTGATAAACAATGGCCAAAGGGAAATGTGCACTACAGACTTACAAGGGATTAGGTTCCTCTAAGTAACGGATTCTTCATAACCAGAGCGAGTAGTGGCTCAAGTACGATGGGCAATGGGGTGTAGTATGGTGATGAATCAATGATTCCCTTTTGTGCGTTGCGATAAGCTCTACTGACATATGAGGTAAGCCTCATTCGGCATGGTTGTACTCTAAGGTAAGTGATTTATGTGACAGTGCAAACCCAGGATAGCTGTCATCCACCAGATGAGTGGGGACAGAGACGACAGTCGTTCTCCACAGATACAATAAACCTGATTGAAGCACAGATGGGGACTCATCATCATCATTATACACCTCAGCTGCAGGTGGAGAACACCTCAGCTATTGTGCCGCAATGTATCAGAAAAGAAAAAGGACATGCAACGGTGACACGCAGGCTGAGTAACCAGTAACGGATGGACATGGTTCCGGAGGGCTAACAGCCGGCTAATGTGCCGAAATAAGGTCATATTGTGCCTAACGATTGAGATCGTGGAAGGAGGAGCAAGAAAAAACAAACAACACAAACGCCATTGCGGTCGACTACTAGCCATGTCAACAAGTGTATCCAGCCAGACGTGTTCATCGTCTTTCAATCCCAACCAGGGATCCGAGACGCTCCAACCGAGGCATACTTCGAAGTAAGAGCCTTCATTCCTCTTGACTAAGTTATCGACTGGCAATCCCTCCTCTTCTTCCATCCATACGTCCAACGCGCAAACAATGCACGTCGCGGGAGTCGGTGTACTGGCATGCGCAACAAGTGACCCAGCCATCGGAGCATGGTGCATGATATAATGTTGCAGAGAGATTCACTTACTCTTCCTGCACTAAATGCGCGACGCCGAACACGCTCATTGATCACGCGGTGCTATCATCAGACATGAGTAAAGCTGTGAAGGCAGCGATCCACGAATGTGACTAGCGTCTTTATGTCTGTCGACCTGATGGGCCAGGTTTCACAACCGTATAAGAGGGTTGAACGGACGGCTGTATTATAAACTATGCCCTTCAAGGCGAGAGTGATGTCGCGTCTGCGCCATAGGTAACAGAGATTGGCAACAGCACCTCTAGCTTTTGATGAGAGTACGAACTCTCATCTTCGATCCCACAGGCGCTAATATAGCTGCCCAGGTACTTGAATCGCTAAACGACTTCTAGCTGGTCACCACTAAGGGTCAGCGCAGGGGTGGGTCCCTGCCAATCTTGCAGCAGTACTCAACATTTCGATGGAACAAAGCATAGCCCAAAACAATTGACAGTCAGTGCTAATCGGTCCAGTGCTGCTTGGCACGTTTGGGAACTGTGATAGATTAGGGCAATATCGTCCGCATAATCCAAGTCAATAAGTCCGTCACAAAGAAGCAGCTCCACTTTCTAGATCGTGTCCAGCGAACGATGTTTCCATGACTTCGTCAATAGTGAAGTTAAAGAGGAAAGGTAACAGTGGGCAACCGTGTCTCACACCGCGAAAGATATTGTAGGGCAGCAACAGTTGGACATAAACTCACATTCAGCTCGAAATATGCGCGTACAGCGCTTTGATAATGTTCACGTATTGATCGGGCACATCTTTTCTCAGCAGACAGTCCCAAAGGGCACATCGATAAACTGAATCGAAGGCACCTTCGATGTGGAGAAACACGACGACGGTGGGTCGTCAATAAACATGGCGGTGCTCCACCAATCGTTACCAATTGAAGATGTGATCGATGCAGCCCCGACCTCTACGAAACCCGGCTTGCTCTTGGCGAATTCGGCCTTCACGAGTGCCAGTCAGTCTGTGGAAAACGACAAACGCAAGCAAATTAGAGGCAATCGAGATCAGATTGATCCCTCTATGATTGCCGCATTTCGAACTGTAGCCTCCCTTGAAATTTGGGACTATAACGGAACGGCTCCAGTCTGTCGTGACAGTTTCCTGCTCCCAAAGTTTCACCAGCAACACGTGTAAATCATCTACAAGAGCAGGTCCCTCGATTTTGAAGAGGACTGGGGCAATTCTATCTACCTTTGCGGCCTTATGCAACTTCAACAGCCTGAGCTCACGTTAGATTTCTGCGGATCTAAGACGACGGCCCGAAAAAGAAGATAACAGACTGGTTAAATTGTCTTGCAAATTGCTCGGCCCAACGCTCCAAGCGTTTTGACAGACTGTGGGGATTAGGTAAAGATGATTAGTAATGGAATTCACATTCCGAACCTAGGAATTCAAAATGAGCGAAAAGGCTATGGATAAGTAGCGCGAGTTATAGACAGTAAACGCCACTCAATGTGATTCGCTGCAGGAAGCTTGACCCTTGTGATGACACCGAATTGAAGGCCTCGGAATGCAATATGACCCCGTTGAAAGAGATCGCAGAAACAGGGATGAATGAAATGTTTAATGAATGTTTTGATACAAACGTGAACAGCCAAACTCCTCTCGGACTCAATGTCTCCTATTAAGATGAAGAGTGTTATTCACATTATATATATATATATATATATATATATATATATATATATATATATATATATATATTTATAGGGAGAGAGAGAGGACGGCAAAGTCCGTGGCTTGCGGTGACCAGATCCTGACAGATCATTGACCTGCTGCTGCAAATTCTGCGCCGTTGACTCGTCCTCGTGGCGACCGCTGGATACGGTATGGTTACATCCTTCCTTCATCTGTAGTAGTAGTAGTAGCTTGGACACATCAGGGTAAGTCGAGCGATTCATAGTGCAGTTCCTGCCGCCTATCAGGAGCACATTTAATCGACGACTGGATGATGACCCGAGTCGTTCTCCTATTCAGGTGTGGACGTACTGGCAGTATATATCAATCTAACCACAAACCATGAATTACCCCAATAGTACTAATCTCATGCTTTATCGGCGGTCGCATAGTCGCATTCGGAAAAGGGTTGTCTTATCTGCTAACCACAGCGGGGTGGATAAGCGAAAACATGCCACCGCTAGTGCATTACTTGTTTAATACACCCTTCCACATTCTCCTTACCCAGTCCACATTTTACCTCACCTGTCCTACGTGCACTAACTCCTACTCACCACTCCAGCGATCGACAGGCTCAGTAGTGTCTAAGCGAAAATTCCTCAGAACTGCATGCTAGAACGTAATAGAATGAGCGCCCCACGCAAAGCACTGCAGTGGTCGTAGTGGAGCTAGTCCGCTACAGCATTGATATTGCTGCACTGGTTGACCAAGGCAAGCTGCATGAGGATGGTGCTGACTGCACGTTCCATTGGGTGGAAGGCGCCACCATAGCAACACGTGAAGGCCCGGTCGTATTTGCACTATCCGACCGCCCACTGGCATCAGCCAACGATTAAAGGCACTTCGCCTATGGCTCGCACGTGGAATGTTTTCCATTTTTATCAGCACGAAGGTCCCACCAAGTGGAAGCTTAGTGACACAAAGAAGCAGTTTTCCTCTCTGTTGTCCTTCATGATAAGATCCGTGCAGAGGAGCGACCGCCAATTTCTACTGGGTGATTTCAACGCGCGCGTGTCGGGTGTGGTGCTGCGGTGTGGGTAGACATAATCAGACCGCCATGATACTGTCTTACCCATTGGGAACGGTGGCCGTCCGGTCTCATTGTGTGCCACTCACGCCTGACGATCACAAACACACGGTTTGCACTGGGTGCGAGTGATATAGCAACTTGGACACACGCACGGAGTGGTCACGCTAACCTGCTTGACTATGTCATCGTGCGTCAGCGGGATATGCGTGAAGTGGGCATGACACGTGTACTGAGTGGAGCCGATTGCAACAAAGATCACAAGTTGCTGCCGACCAAAATGTCCATGTATTTTTCTTCATGCACATTTTGCTCATCCTCCGTGAATCGGCGTAATGTTCGCTCCCTAGGTATTATTGAGAAGAGGATGGAGAAAGCTATGGCTCCATTGCGATGTCCATTGCATCGCTTCAGTCAGCGACGTGTGGCGCCACACAAAAGAACAGGTGATCGTTGAGACTTACGATACAACCGGGCGTGCGAACTGTAAGCGGCCCCATGTGTTTGATAACAATAGTGCGATCATTGGTGCATTGATGTCAGAGAAGAATGCAGCTGTTGCGGCACATGTGGAGGATCCAGGAAACAGTGAAGTGTAAGTTTCGCGAAGTGGATCGACGATGCACTCGGGTTAACCATGTGCACAAACCTCGGATGACTTTGATGTTGTCTTAGTGAGAAAAAAGGGGGTGTCTTAGCTCGTATTTTGTTTACTATTCAACTAACTGCTGTGATGAGTAGTGCTTCCAATTTTTGCGAAATTGGTGTGCATCTCGAGCCCTGTGTCGATGGTGGGTTGCTGAAGATCTGTTGTTCCGGGAAAGAAAAACGGTGAGTGAAACAACCATCCATATGTTGTTGGCTGTTGACGGCTGGGTGTTGTTTGCACACAGCCAGAATGAATTATAGCGTATGAGGATGGTTCAGGTTTCAATGGCGGCCAAGCCTATATTTTTCGGACGCCGCCAAGAATGGAAGCTATGCGCTGCCCGCAAATGAAGATTACTGATGACATTTTGGAGATGTCTTCGAAATTCTGCTACCTCGGAAACATAGTGTCAAGGGACCTGCAAGTGACCAGCGGACTGCTCATCTACGTATCGGAGACGAGTGCAGCGTTTGACAACTGAAACATTAGGTCTGAAAGAATCATCACCTAACCGTTGAGACCATGCAGGCGGTGTATAAATCGACGGTGCCATGGGTTTTGCTTTACCGCAGTGAAATAGACACCATACAAGAGGTGCATCCAGTATCTGGAACATCCTCATCAGCAGTGTCTAAGTCAGCTTCAGCGAATGGATTGGTGTGAAAGGGTTCCTAACGCGGAAGTGCTCCGCCGCACGATGTATGTAGTGGACTGCATGCTTTGCTGTGACATCTGAGGTGGGTCGAACATGTACATCGTATGGAGATGACCAGGATAGCAAATCGTCTACTGTATGGCCAACTAAGTGCAGGAGGGCGGAATGTGGGAAAACCGAAGCTGTGCCAACAGGACATGATCAAGGTGAGTTTATTATGAACTAATGCTGACTATAGGTATTGGGAAACAATGGCAGTGGATCGACGCCAATGGTGTGATCACATAAGAAAAGCCGTTTCCCAGGTGCATCAGAAAGACAAATGCCGGTTGCGTAGGCAACAGGTAGCTATGGAGCCCAGCCAACTGACATCAATCACCTAGTGCTGTGTTCGTGTGCGCCTGAGCCAAGCGGATTTTGTCAGGCATCAAGGTGGGCACGAGGCACTAATATCAAATAGACGACGAATAGATTAAAAATAGGGAAGTGTCATTGCTCGGCAAGTACACTGTCTCCGGTTCCAGTTAATAAACCAGGCCCATTGTGCGGTCGATGTAGCACGTGTGCTACAACATTGCTGAATCTGGTCTGTACGTGTGGCTGCATGCTTATTTTCTTGCATTTTACGTGCACTGTTAATTGGTACCCCGGTGTGGCTGCGCTTGATGTGAATGTTGGCTGCCGAAAGCCACCTAGATTACTGGCTCCAGGAGACTGTTGATCGATGCTGACATGACAACGTGCACATGCTTGATGACGGTGATAGACTTAAATACTCGTTCGATCCAATGGGGAACGGGCCACGGCCCAGCCACCGTCTTGTGTACGTCAGGTATGCATGCTTAACGCTGTACGAATGTGCACGTTGAATGAATACCGAGCAGGTTCTAAAGAAATCGTGGCTCCCGTCTGCATTCCTCCCAGTAATATTACTCCGGGTTAACAGTGGATAAGCGGTGCGTGGATGTAGCCGTGAGTGGTCCTGTGCAAACCACTCATGGTCCCTCTGCAGACGCAGCCTTCCTGTAACTGTTCGAGATGAGAGTAACAAGTGAATCGGGAAACCGATGTCACCTGCTCTGTATCAGCAACAGGCTAATGGACAGACATAGAGCCATCCAAAACCATGGAAACCAACGAGAGTTGACGGGTAGAAATGTCAAAAGGAAAACACTTTTGTGTGTATTTTTACGTGCCGTTTGGATTTTTGATTTGTCGCTTCAGTCATTAGCTGAAGGAATGTAACCGGTACAGGAATTTCCATTCATAAACATCATGTTTCAGTTCCAGATGGTATCGTGGTTATGTTGAAATAATCTTCAAATACATCAGCGAAAGCGCCCGCGATTTTGAAGTCGTCCAAAAAGACGGGATTTAAAACTGCTAGTACACGCCACAGCGGGTCTGGGCACATCATGCTTGGTGCTCAGTGGAAGAATTATTGAACAGTGAATAAACGACCGAAGAAATCTTTGCATACATAAAAATGTAATTTTAAGCACACCAAACCCATAGGGGATTTGAAGGATTCCTACACCATGAGTGAAATGAGCCCCATACGCACAAGCGCGTGAATGAGCAAGATGTACCAAAACATCAAGGGGACTTCCAGTTAAAAAAAGTAACACAAGAGCATTCGCATGCGAAAAAGTAAGCCCAGCGAAAACGTCTGCGATGAAACTTAGTGATGGTATATTAGTATGAAAGAGCAAGAAAACTATAACAGCCATATATGTACACGAGAAGACGACTGTCTTTACTGGTAATGGCAAAGAGAAAAGGAGACGAACAAAATGTAGCGATAACATTCACAAGTTTATCAATGCAAACATACCAGCCAACGTCAGAAAAACCGGCACTCTATGTATGGAACGCATGTAAAGCGCGTGGCGGTTTAACGAGTCAAGTGCAGCCGAGGACTTCATAGCAGACTAGTTGAAGCTGAAATATGGTAATATTTAAAGTTACTGATAACTAGCTTGTGAGAACACCTACGGTATCCCAGATCGGTGAAACTCAATCGCGAGACCCGAAAAATCAGTTGCTTTGCGTTGAAACAGTAGAGTAATGATTTAATCGTAAATTAGGTGAAAAGAATGAAAGAGAACTGAGTCTTTGAAGGATAAGTCATACAGCCTAGTGAGAAGACACAAATCGTAGCCACTCACCGATACAATGTAGTTTATCGCAACAGGTAGCTGATTGTGTAGAATGACTGAATTGCGTATAACCAGTTGAAAATCATTCGCATACAAATCAGATGAACTGGAACCAGCCAAACTCCCAGTCCGTGCGGTGAGTGTTGCGCAATGTGTCTCGGGGGAAGTAGACATGTTCAAAGTTGTAATGGAATAGTAATATGTCAAATCAGAGGTTTTCGATTTGCACTGCATAAATTGGACTGGCCACTTCAACAACGGTCGCGTTGTCTCTGTCGGCCTACTTAGTGTTGCGCTTATAGGCTGAAGAGTGTGCAACGAGGAACGTGATGCAGATTTTTCGGTTACTGGAGCCAAGTACACCAAGTCTTGAGATCGGCCGTAGCCTGTTTGCGAGCTGAGACATGCAGACTCAGGCCAATAGGCCGCAGTGGTAGACAGAGTGGTGCTGTTTGGGGTCGAGGGTTGAGAAGACGACAGGCATTGAAGTTCAAGGCGTGTATGAGATAATGGATGAGGTATAGATTTCAATTGATGACACATGTGAATGAACGTTACCCTTTTGTGCTAGATAATTTCACTGTCATAAAAATTGAATTTGTATGTTTTATGTGATACCGAGCAACAAAGGGAAGGATGATGTTTAGGGAAAGACATGCTCATGCACACACAATAGTTGATGGTTGGTTATGCATGAAAACCATAGCATCGTTTTGAGAAAAATTTCCACTGCGCTTCTACTGACATCTACCAGTTTCAGCGGCATGCTCAACTAGTTCAATAAAATGTACAGTAGAGACAATAATGATGGTGAGTTCATGAACGGCGGAAAATTGGACGATAAAACCCAGTCGCAGTTGAAAAAAGCATCAGCAGTACGCCGGTACGCAGTACCGACACTTCGCTGCAGCGCGACCACCACCAGTTGCACGTGGGCCAAAGATACTAGAAGGGACGCCCAGTTCTCTGCGCACGCTGGGACCTGCGTCCCAGAATTATAAGGGCGGTTTGTGATCCTTAAGGTTACGGTTAGTGGATGAAGATGTGACCGAAATCAATAAAACCATGGTGCGTCAAACAAAGGTCAAACGAATAATCAAAGCAACCTGATTCACGAAACAGTAACCTGTAATCACAGCAAGGTAGCGTAACATTTACAAACCACAACGTACACTCCAACATCTGGACCGATGAAAATCCCGGTGCTCTCACGAGAATTGATCACACCCACTGGAACGGCGTATATTTCTCCCGCCTCCAGAACAGCTAAACGGTTGATGCGGCGATCAGTTGAAGCGGAAGTGTTGTGCACAAACAAGCATAGAACATCGGAGGTGTCATTCACGATCTGAGAGAACAGCAATAGAGAAGTACAAACAAGACCCAATTAAGTCTGAGAACTCATAATAAAGAACTATAGTCATCTGGCGTTTCATGCGCTGTATCTGTCAAAAGGGATGCGCGCAGTGACTGCATTGGAGTTTATGATACCAGATATACGATTTGGCACACAGAGTGGAAAAACAGGAGCCTAGGAGTTCCTCGTAGAGACTGGCACCATTGGTATCATTCGCCATCATCTATGTCGCTTTTCCTATATATTTGCGTCGCACTGACATGTTGTCGTTTAGCAAAGGATGCACCTTTCGCTCTCATTGTACCTAGCTCCAGAGTCAGTTGCTATTAAATTCTTCGTTTTCATTCTGAAATATTTTGTTCATGGTGTCAGGCTTTCGGCATGATTCCGCATTTTAGATGTCCCAAATCACTACTAGTGAAATTACAAAGACGCTTGCCAAACAGAATGTATTCCCTGCAAATTGATGTCTGTATTTTTGGGTTATGCTTTGCCATATATTTACACGAGTTATTTGTACTGGTAATCAATTTATAGCCGTTTCTTACCTGTCGTGATACTACCGTTATTTTATTTCCTCCCTGAGTCCACTATGAACTGGGACTTCTGAACGTGTTTCAGTCGATTGATGAAGTCGGATTGCGCGTCAGCGGGAGTTTGGAAGACTGACTCGGCCACTAAAATCCCTTTTCCGCCTTCTGGCCAGACTGTGCTGGTTCGGATCGACGGGACATCAGTTAACGGGGGATCTAACCACGGTACACTTTTCTGCACTTCACCCCGAATAACGTGCATGTGTGAAACTGTCATGAAGATAACATAATGTATATTCCTATCTAATATGTAGAGGGGATTTAATGAAAGATGTGTAAATATTTTGATCTTTCCCTATATGAGAAGTCTCTCGCATCTTCGATGAATACAAGAGTTAATTATTTGTTTTAAAGTTTAATAGCATTCTACAAGACATTCAAGACTATAACACTCATGATCTACCTAGAAGTGCCGTACTTGCACAATAATACCGATATCTACAACAGTCCACAACTCCATAAGCAAATGTACAAAGCATTTTCATTAATTTCTGCGCCTACGAAACCACGGATCACGAGATGGGGAAGATTTACAGAATATTCGCTATCGCCTCCTCACATAATCACCTTGATTTTTCCACGCACCAGCGCAAAACTTTTGCTTTGATCCCACCGACAATTTACCTGCACGCACAATTTTCGAAAAATCTCTGGGCATGTCATTTTGCAAATAATTATTTGTACTATTATAATGCAAGTGTGCTTGCTACGCCTGTTTGATGATCATGACTGTGCTGGTGTGCCTCGTTTTGTCGAGAGTAGTAGACCATGTATTTCTTACGATGTAGCTACAGAACAGCACGGGGAGACATGTCTGCGCGGCCAGCAGCCAGTGCCACGTAAGTAAGGTTTGTCTTCGTCATTTTAAGGTGATCCAGATGTCTACTCTAGTTTACTTATGCCTAAGTCACAACATTTAACATTGGATTAGATTCTCGACATGACAAACGATGCTTGGTAGATTAACTAACCCACAGAGTGGGTGGGAGTGGCAAAAAATATGAGCGCGTCAGTAGAGAAGAATTTTCTTCTAAACTCATCCGTGACTGGTCTCAGTTACCATGCAGTTAACGTAAGAGGACAAAATAGGAAAATCCTAAGCACAAATACGCGTCAAATTGAACACTAAAGTGCGAATAATTCAAAAACCGATTCCTCTAACAAATGCGAGTTTTCATTGCGTATAAAGTAAGATCGAGTCGCGCATCCGTTTTTTAAGGCATGAGCAGTAGTACCATGCGTACCTATAAGAAAATTCGACACGCATTCAAAAGCAGGATATCGGAAGTTAAACTACTCAACCGCAAATGTTAAGGTTCACTGGAGAAAAACCAGACTTCAGCATAAGCCATGAGTATGAATGTTCCGAAAGCTATTTACACAATGCTGGACGGGACTTTCTAAATGAATTCGGGAAACTCATATCAGAAGTATGTAGCTGCTATCCAAACCTAGATCAGAAAAAGATCTATGACCCTCTCTTTTCAAAACTCATTCATCGAGAACAAAATTTCAACTGGAGTGCCAAAGGAGACTGACACAACGCGTCGGGTCTTAAGTTGAAATAGTTTGTCTGTCGATGAATTCCTACAAACTGTCTAAGATCGAATAACCCATTATAAACAAGGTGAATGCGCGGAAGGATCAGCATTGAAGTGAAGAAGCGCGCAACAACAATCTAAGCCGGCCCAAATTAGATACCAATGTGCCTCAGCATTCACAAGATCAGATCGATTCAGGGCTCGCGGATCTATGAATTCAATAGTTTACGTAAATGGAATAGGTCACAAACACACTAGGTTGGGATACTCGGGCATTCAATAAAGGTGCCAGAATTTACCACCTCCTCTTCTCAAGCGCCATGTGCACGGACGCCAAATCATAAGGTGAATTTCTAATAGAGATCCACTAAAAGAAGAGCATACGTGCCTAGTGCCAAGTAAGAACACACAAGATAAGTATGCTCAAGGAGGAATGGTTTTGTTCCAAATAAGGAAACTTAACGATTGCGATTCAGAAAGTGATGCCGGTCTGACACGGCATCACCGTGGAGTCGGCGAATGCCTCAAAGCACACAGAGAACTCAAAGCCTTGAGGAGCACAAATTGAACCTCCCACAAAGCTGCTTAAAAGACCGCCCAACAAAGGGAGGTGATAATAGAGGGAAGCAGTTCTGATGAGCTGATAAAAATATAAAAGGTTGAGAGAAGTGGGGAAAAAGCAAAGTAGTAGCAGCAATGTGCCGGTACGTTGCGACGACGCTTCGCTGCCCCGCAACCACTATCGTTCGCGAGCGCGGGCTAGAGAAACTGAGGTGGTGTGCACCTACCCAGATTTGAACCGCTGACCTTTCGGTCACGGGCCGACAGCATCGGAAAAGTCATCGGCCTTAACACAGGGGAAACAGAAAGAGCACAGATGTGAAACAAAAGCAAAACTTGTTCCAACTAACTTGAACGGTGGATCGGAGATTAATCACTCTGGTGCCAAGATAAGTCGTGGTCTGGGCAACGACAGGGAAATAAATATCCTTCGAATGAGACGCGTCTCCCGGTGAATTGGATATATGTTTTGGCAAAAGTAACATGATGCTCCCAACAGAGTGAAGTGGAAGTCCTGTTTCGTACTTCGTGGATGGTTTCGTACCAGTTGACGGGCACCAAGCAGTCCATACCATGTGACGGTGTGTCTTCTCCGTAACCGAGCGAACAGTCAACACTTTCTAGACCACCAGGAAACAAGAGCAAAATAGGAGGTCGGGAACACAATCAGTTAGCTTCAGGGAGGGGCCAAGCAGAAACTTTTGCAAGGAAGCAAAATAGCAGCACAAGAAATACGTAGGAAGTAGTGTGTGACGCATACGTTAAAGAGTGACCTAAGCTACGCAGGAGAAACATGACATGAAAGATAAACGCTCTCCATGAATATAGTAATTGCATATTTACAAATTCAGTGGGACTAAGACGACCGAGACATACTCGTGACATCCGTTCCGGCTCAATGAAGCCCATCTCTTCACCATCAGCCAGAATGTGAATCCCTTGGTCCACTTCCCATGGGGTGGGAATACCAATCGCGGAAGGTTCAAGTGCTTGCGAATTCTGTGTACCGGAAATAATCGAAGAGGCTGGACCCCGATCTCGCCGAATGGAATGAGTAAACGATTTGCGCAAAAGTGCGATTGAGGAACGCCTGCTATCACCCAAAACTCTGAGTAAGAGCGGATCCGTACGCAAAGCCATGGGCCACCCAGTTCTGTTTTGGATGCGATAGGGAGCAGCAAGTTCGCCACCGAGCTCGTACTCGAATTCACTAAACTTTTGATTATATGCGGCTTCGAAGGACTGAAGGAAATGAAGTAAAACGCTTTGGTGAGCAATTTTACTTGAAACACTTGTAGTTCCGAGTGCGGATGAAAGAGTTGAGTTGTTCTCCAGCTCGGAAAGCAACCCCACTCTTTCATTCACAACGCCGATGATCTGTGGAGTAAACAAGTTGTATGCTTGAATCAAAATTCTGTTGGGGATGGTAGCAGGGGAATACTCTACTGAACAGTGGACCTGCGTAGGTTGCATGTGCAATAGAGCAGACCCGATACGGACTGAACCGTGGAGGCGACGCAGGAGGACTGCGAATCGGAATGCATAAACATCTGGTTCAAGACGTGAGTTCAAGAAACTTTAGCTCACATTAAGTGGTCCCAAGGTTATTACGCCAGGTTGCGCGGTTATCGCGCCATGAAAGGTATGAAAAAAGATAATACTAAAAGTAACACACCCGACCAAGGTTACTCAGCATATCCAAAGCTGATTTAGTCAGAGTCAGTTCCAGGTTATCCCGTGACACCACAAGTATGGTGTTCGCTGATGCCTGCAAGCAACCGACTTCATCCAGATCCTCCTCGGCCACAAGGTCGTCCAAATTGGCGGTGGACACTTCGATCTGTAACGACCACATTCGTCCATCCTCGTCAGGCAACGTCTCCAGTAGCTGTTCCCATTGACTAAGTGCGTCGTTATAATACGACAGGGAGAGATCGACCGTGAGCTTTACTTGTAGCTGATTGGACGGGAAGAAGATAAAAGTATCAAATAAATGTAAATGGGGAACAACGGAGGTGAACATATGCAGGCCATTACACAGGTAGATAAAGCACTAAAAGGTTGACTGAAGTAATACAGATCTAACAGATGACGCTATAAAAATAGGTAAGTAAGCATAGTTGGGAAGGGACTCGGAATCACATACGCAAAGAAGCGGGAAGTAAAGAGCAAAGGTAACAATTTAAGTGTAGAAGTCAGCTCCCGAAACGAGTAACAGTAGAGCAGTATCTATCAGCAGATCACCGGTGCATAAGTCGTTTGCTAGAGTTTTACCACCCTGCCGCACGAAAATTCAATAAATAAAGTGGGTGGAGAGGGAAGAAGGCATCAGCAGTACGCCGGTACGTAGTACCGACGCTTCGCTATCGCGCAACCACCACCAGTCGCACGTGGGCCAAGGATACTGAGATGGTCGCCCTGATCCTACGCAGACTCGAACCCGCGCCGCAAGGTTATGAGACAAATTCGTTACCACTAGGCTACGGGTCAGATGAAAATAAAAAGATCTATTAGGCGGCCGCAAGGAAAGCACTCCGTGACACGGTTTCGAGACGTGAAGTGGGCCTGTGGCGTCACTCAAAAAGCTGATGAAATCATTTTCTCATCATGACACGGGTTGCTACGCAGCCGGCATGAGCACGACTACAGGTAGACAGTGGAAACTACTAGGAGGTTTGAATCTGTCGACAGCAGTGAAGTAAGTCAGCCCAGAGACGTGCAGCCGGAGATGGTGTCATGTGATCTATAGAATTAACCGCGTTCAATTCCTTCGGTCTGGCAGGCCTCGACTTTCGTTTTTTTCCCGCCGGGTTTGCGACTCAGAGACCAGAGGCAAGGACAGCATTACAACCAAATCCTATTGATAAGCGCCATAAAAAGTAACTTTAAGTTAGTTGATGAAATTGCTACTTAGGAGATGGCTCAATATGTTTGGAACTAAGGCGCACCAGTTGAGATGTGGGGGCAATAAAGCGTGCATTTGCGCTGGATACGAATGGTAAGAACGGAAGCTGCTTATGAGTTAATGACTACCAAGGGGAAAGTTATGTATGCGTTTGATTGCACATAGCTTACTAAGCATATTTGCTGCTCTCCGAAATTACGGCCGGAGATACAAATAAAATCCTTATATACGAAACTCGGAAAATCGTCCATTAAAACAAAAATACAGTGAATTCAGTAATTAAAAGGAGAAATAGTGTTATAACCTGTTAGTTACATCCTAAAGACCGCGCCCGCATACCAAATTTTACAAAAAGCATCTCGCTAACGTCAATTCAGCTGGCAGACTTTTGGAGCGTTACCGAATTCGTTGTTACTATGCCCGCTACCCCTATCAGTGGCGCCTTTAAAGGAATAAGTAGTTCCATACCTGAAAACGTACGATAGGTAGGCAGCAAACGTGTGATTCACATGGCTCAAACTCCACCAATCCCAGACATTTGCGAGGCACACCGTACACCACTGGATGAATGCTACAGTTACGGCAGCAGCAGTACGCAATCCATGGATCCAGTGAGGAATGGAAGTCGTAAAAGTCGTAAACATTCAGTCGAGTGCATGCTGCTAACTGAAACGCAGAATGATTGACTGTCCAACTAGGACGAATTGTGGTGAATTTCATGCGAATAAAGCTGTTTCCATAACAAGTAAATTTTCATTCCATTCACACTCACAATTAAGTAGTTCATTAAGCCACACTGCAAGAATACATTTAGGTACTTTCTGATAATCTTATTCTAACCAATGACTCTAGTTATTTTGGAAGAGGCCAACGGAAATAGTCGATTAGAACTGAAACGCATCGACCAATGATGAGGTAGCAAATTAATTGCGGGGTTTGAATCAAGAACGTGAAACGTTATGCGAGAACTGTAATAAAGAAAAACGAACGGTTTTAGCATACAGGCAATTGGTCCGTGGCAACTCGGACGCAAGTGGACAAATGGACGTATTACACTTACGTCAGACTCAGGGCTGAGAAATTCCCCATCGACCGAAGATTCCAGAACAAGCATCGGCATAGATCTGGTACCAACCTGAGACTCCAAGACGACGCGGATAGTCCGTAGGCGAATAACGATCTGTTTTCGCACAACAAAATGAAAATTAGAAAATTAAGAGAACACTATAGGCGTGGTGGATAACACTACCGAAAAGAGAATGGGAGATTGATAAAAACCAACGATGAGATTTCGGAAAAGGTGGGCGCAAATCAGAAACTAACAAGCAGTGATGATGGGGTACAAGCATAAAAAATCGATGACGAAAAAGAACAAAACAAGATGGTGAACAAGAAAGTGCTAAATATAAGCGCTTCCAGGAAAGCATAATCGAGCGGATGCACGCTACAATCCATATCGCCACAAACGTTTAACAACACTACAAGTGACCAGGTAGGGATAAGCCAACACTTTTCTCCGCCAACTGTGGCGCCGGCGCAACAACACTATCGTCCTGAAGGACAGCCGTCCGTTCAACCCGCTTGTACGGTTGTGAAACCTGGCCCAGCATGTCAACAGACGTAAAGAGTCCAGTTACGTGCGATCAACGTTGTCTTCGCAGCTTAGCTCATGTATGGTGGGAGCACAGAGTGAGCAATGAGCGCATTCAGAGACTTGTTTATGTCGCAGGAAGAGCGAGTGAACAGATCAACACCGTTATTAAACGCACATGCCACCACACACATTCGCACGAGGTGCGTTGTTTCAGTGAGCATGGTGTGAATGGAATAAGAGGATGCAAAACCAAGCGATAATTTGATCACGAGGAATAAAGGCCTTCACTTCGAACTGGGCGTCGGTTGGTTTTTGCAGTGCCGAACTGGGATACCTGAGAGGATGAACACATCCGGTTCGACAGACTTGTTAGAATGGCGAAGAACCGATTTCACCGGCGACTGTGTTGTGTGTTGCTTGGACCTCTCCATCCCAATAATCTGCTCGCTCCAACCACAACCTATCTTAAAGAATAATATGCTACCAAAAAGCATGCTACATGCTGAGAAGTGCAGCGATCACCGTAAAGAATGAAAAGAACGAAAACAAAACTCATCACAATTGAAACATTTAGTTCCCTTAAGCAATTCGAAAAGCGCAGTAAGAAGACGAAGACTGGCAAATGCACACATTTCGTATTGTCTCATCAGTGCCTTTAACAATAACTCGCAATAATATTTATTCAGTGAAAGGTGCGAACAAACATACATAGAAACAGACCAACACATAATAAGTGAGACAGGGTTATCATCCCTATCCCCAGGGCAGTCTAATGCTGACCGATAATTGTTTCTGAACACAAAGCATCGGCTTAATCCGGTTAATTGCAATCGCCTCTGCGAAACGGAGGAGGCGAGAATTGGTGTGTTGTAATACGACTGTGAACGCCGAATTGACCTCGACTAGGTGACCTGTGGTCAATAGGTGTCGGCCGATCGAAGAGGCTGGTTGGTGGCAGCTTGACTCTGGCCAGTTTCCTGCGCGGTCGAACGTTGAACCCACTTAGGTATATGCTCCTTCATTCGGGAACTCAATGTTCTATCGGTCCTGCCTATGTAACTGGCGCCGAAGTCACAAATGAATTGGTAACTGCAATGCGATTTGGCCCCGATAGACTGAGCCTCCTTTACAGATGGAAGTGGCAGTTTTTGGGTTTTCTTAATGACAATGACCTTTGCGGCATAGTAAGTTGTCTGCATGGCACAGATCAGACGCCTTGTGGTCCTCAACGAGGAGACGTCACCTTTGAATGGCAGTTCAATGATTACAGGCTTCTTAGGCACCGTGTGAACTAGGTCCCTTGGTCGTACTTGACTATGTTTCTCGATGAACCTTCGGGGGTAGACGTTTTCGATGAGCGTGTTGTTAATCAACTGTAGTTCGTCAGCCAGGCAATCAGCAGAGCAGATTCGTCTGGCACGGCTAATCAGGGTTCTCACGAGCGTCCGCTTGTATCGCATTGGTGTGAAGCTAGTGGAATGCAGATACTGCCCGGACCATGTTGGTTTCCTGTAGACAGACCTCTTAATCTGCCCGTTCTCTCTGCAGCTGATAAGGAAGGCCATTTTGCTTCTCTACCTCACAGGTGACCCGCAAGTTATAATGCGCAGAATTAAATTGCGTTATCAACTGCTGCACCTGATGCTTCGATGAGCAAATTGCCAAAATATCATCCACGTAGCGTTGGTAGTGTGGAAGTCGAGATATTTCTTGCACTACCATTAACATAAAGAAATCAGCGAGTACTGGGCCCAATGAACTGCCCATCGCTACTCCATCAATCAGACAGTACGGTGTGTTGCTGAAGTGAGAATTGACGTTCTTCGTACACAACAACAAAGAGTCTCCTAGTAGCTCAACTGGCATCGGTAGGGGACACCGCGAACTTACTGCTAGTTCACAAATGTAATCAACAGTTTGGTGCAGGGGAACATTGGTAAAAAGCGATTCCACATCTAAAGAGCACATGACCTTGTCGGGTATATTAAGTATGTCGAGGTCATCGATAAGCTCGAAAGAATCTTTGAGGCTGTATAGATTGACCCACTCGCAGCGGAGAAAGCAATTTCACCAGCCAGTGAGCCCGTTTATGTTGAGGCGCGTTTCCCATCGATAGAATCGGTCTGAGTGGCACCTACTCTTTTGTACTTTCGGTAGCCCGTATAGCTGAGGAGTAGTGGAGCCGGTCGGCTTTAAGCTGTCATACGTATCACTGTCGATCACACGATGCAGATGAAGCACATCTAAGTGACTAGTTATGCGAGACTCTAACACAGTCACACCTCTGCCCTCTCAAGTCGTTTGAATTTACTTGTGTCCTCGAGTATGACTGTCATCTTCTTTAGGTATTCATTCTTATTCATGAGTACTACACCAGAACCTTTATCTGGCTTTGTTATAATCCCATCCTCGGCACGTAGTTCGCGTAGCGCCTATAAATGCCGTTTGGTAAGCGCACACTTTTCTTTTACTGGCACATGTTTAACCTTATAAGCAATAACTGTCAGCTTGTTTCCAAACCATATGAGCTTATCAGCACTGGCTGGTTGTAGATCTTTCACCTGATCAAAGAATGTTTGAAACTGCGATTCAATAAGAGGCTCATTTAACCGTCTAGGAGGAACTTTGTAGTCTGTGCCAAATGATAATGCTTCCAATTGTAAGGCATTAAGCTTAAAACCCGACATATTCAGAACATGCTTACTGGGGTCACGAGTAACTGCCACTTCCTCTTGGTTGTTCATCAGTGACTTTTCTAGACGAGGCAACGCAATCCTTTTTGTGCGATCACCGGTGGTGTTACAAAACCAAGAGAATGCAATACGACAACAGAGGGACTGGTTTCCGATGACGGGCAATAGGCGTGTGTGTGTCTCGAGTAAATCCACAAGTCTGGTTTGTGCCGTCTCAAGATGAGCGGATGCAACCCTTCTAAAATTAGCTGCAGAGGGTCTCAATTTGTTTCTACGTAACATTTTCACAATCGATCGAGAATAACGACGCTGGCAGATTCATTCGGAGAGGAAGGATATTTCCACACACTTGCAAGCAATCTTACATCGCAGGTTGACAGTGAGGCGAAGTAGCTTGACTGTCTCAGGAATTTGAAACAGTTAGTTCCCTTTAGTAATTTGAAAAGCGCAGTAAGAAGACGAAGACTGGCAAATGCACGCATTTCGTGATGTCTCATCAGTGCCTTTAACAAAAACTCGCAGTAATATTTATTCAGTGAAGGGTACGACCTTCTTTGATCAGGTGAAAGATCTACAACCAGCCAGTGCTGATAAGCTCATATGGTTTAGAAACAAGCTGACAGTTATTGCTTATAAGGTTAAACATGTGCCAGTAAAAGAAAAGTGTGCGCTTACCAAACGGCATTTATAGGCGCTACGCGAACTACGTGCCGAGGATGGGATTATAACAAAGCCAGATAAAGGTTCTGGTGTAGTACTCATGAATAAGAATGAATACCTAAAGAAGATGACAGTCATACTCGAGGACACAAGCAAATTCAAACGACTTAAGAGGGCAGAGGTGTGACTGTGTTAGAGTCTCGCATAACTAGTCACTTAGATGTGCTTCATCTGCATCGTGTGATCGACAGTGATACGTATGACAGCTTAAAGCCGACCGGCTCCACTACTCCTCAGCTATACGGGCTACCGAAAGTACAAAAGAGTAGGTGCCACTCAGACCGATTCTATCGATGGGAAACGCGCCTCAACATAAACGGGCTCACTGGCTGGTGAAATTGCTTTCTCCGCTGCGAGTGGGTCAATCTATACAGCCTCAAAGATTCTTTCGAGCTTATCGATGACCTCGACATACTTAATATACCCGACAAGGTCATGTGCTCTTTAGATGTGGAATCGCTTTTTACCAATGTTCCCCTGCACCAAACTGTTGATTACATTTGTGAACTAGCAGTAAGTTCGCGGTGTCCCCTACCGATGCCAGTTGAGCTACTAGGAGACTCTTTGTTGTTGTGTACGAAGAACGTCAATTCTCACTTCAGAAACACACCGTACTGTCTGATTGATGGAGTAGCGATGGGCAGTCCATTGGGCCCAGTACTCGCTGATTTCTTTATGTTAATGGTAGAGCAAGAAATATCTCGACTTCCACACTACAAACGCTACGTGGATGATATTTTGGCAATTTGCTCATCGAAGCATCAGGTGCAGCAGTTGATAACGCAATTTAATTCTGCGCATTATAACTTGCGGGTCACCTGTGAGGTAGAGAAGCAAAATGGCCTTCCTTATCAGCTGCAGAGAAAACGGGCAGATTAAGAGGTCTGTCTACAGGAAACCAACATGGTCCGGGCAGTATCTGCATTCCACTAGCTTCACACCAATGCGATACAAGCGGACGCTCGTGAGAACCCTGATTAGCCGTGCCAGACGAATCTGCTCTGCTGATTGCCTGGCTGACGAACTACAGTTGATTAACAACACGCTCATCGAAAACGTCTACCCCCGAAGGTTCATCGAGAAACATAGTCAAGTACGACCAAGGGACCTAGTTCACACGGTGCCTAAGAAGCCTGTAATCATTGAACTGCCATTCAAAGGTGACGTCTCCTC